TTTTCCTTGCAAGAAGACAGGTGGGATGCCAAGAATCATGCAGAGAGAATTGCCCTCCGCTTCTGGGCGGGGACAGGGCTGTTGTGTTCAAGGCGGAACTCCCAACATCTAGACGTAGAGCTTGGCACACGGGGAGCACTTGCTAGGTCCGTGGCTGGATAAGTGGATGCTGGCGTGAATGAAGGAGAGGCAATACCATGCATTTCCGGGGGATGATCCCAGTAGAGACGAGGCGGGGCAGATATTCACCCTAAGGGGCCTGGATGAAAGCTGCAGTTGCAGGGAGCAGGGACATCTTTAGGGAGCAGCAGGAGGAAAGGAAGCTTAAGGTTCCAGTTAGGGAGACTGACCCAGGTGAAGGGCCGGCTGGAGAGCTTACGTCGGGGACAGAAGTTTATACGTAGTACGATGGGAAAATAAACTAAAAGCGTAGCAATGTGGCTGAGAGCAGCTATCTCATTACTTGCTGAAAAAGGGCAGAATCAAAATACTCAGAAAGAGAGCCCTGTTGATAAAGCTGAAGAAGCAAGTTGGAGGGGACTGCGCAGCCTCGGGTTGCGCAATGTTGGGGTTAAAAGGGGGAGTCAGGGGATCCCTGGGGGGCTCAGCAGTTTAGCGCCTGCCTTTGGCCCAGGGTGTGACCCCGGGGTCCTGGGATCGAGTCCCACGTCGGGCTCCCTGCATGGAGCCTGCTTCTCCTTCTGCCTCTGTCTCTGCCTCTCTCTCTCTCTGTGTGTCTCTTGTGAATAAATAAATAAAATCTTTAAAAAAATAAATAAAAAGGGGGAGTCATTTTTCAAAGGAAGACTCTTGGTATCAGAAACCGAGATGGGAAGGATGATGGGGAAAATAAGCAGGAGCCGTCCTGTTGGAACTTATGTAAATACATGCACGTGGTTAGATGTCGCTGTGGAGATAGATGTGGGTGCACCTATCCACCTATCTCCAGCCCGGTGGGGGGTGTCCACACACATGTACACACAGGCTTGCAGACATACATGTAGATGCTTAGGAAGAATGAACTATGTGTACAGATTTTTAATGGCAGGTTATTTTTCCTCTTTTCGCTCACCTGGATTTTTTTTTTCTACAATGAGTATCATCATTAGGGATGTAATAAAGAAATTAAAGATTTAAAAAGCAATTAGGCATATTTCCCCAAGAGTCTTTTGTTACTTTCCCGACATGAATCTCCCTTTCCTACTAAGGTCCAAGGCAAGAGCTCTTAGACCTGGATGGTTCAGAGCAGCTTCCTCCACCTGAAACACGGTGACCCTTCGATATAGCCGGACTGTTGCCCCATATCCACACCACCCTGCTTATGATGCCACCAGGTGTAACGGCCTGTTCACCGAGGTCTGACCCATTGTCATTGTTCCAGAGGAACCTGCTCCTACACAGTGTCCTGAAGAAGAGGAACCTATTCCCAAGGCGCAGGGAGGGTATCCCAGAGGAATGTGAGGATGGGTGGCTTCTCTGCCCTCGCACCTGTGGCCGGGGCAGTGCCCAGAGGGTAGCCTGGGATCCCTCGATTCTCTGGGGTCTGCTGCTCAAACCTGGCATTATACTCAGGAGTCTGCTCTGAGGCTGTGGGCCAGCCTGAGCAGTGGGCACAGTGTCCTTTTCTCACATCATCATCTCTCCTCTCTGCATCCCCTCCTCCTCCCCATCTCCTTTCCCTGTGTGTTGTCCACTCTAGTGTCCTCTGTGCCTTGACTGGAGGGACTTGGATTACTCTTCTTGGCCCTGCGGGGGCATCTCAAGCAACCCAGGCCTCATTTCCACTCCCCCGTTGTGCCCATAGTCCACCCCCAAGCAGAAGGAGAGTCCTAACCAGAGAAGGGGAACAGTGGCCAAACTGTTTCCTTCCTCTACTCTTCTCCAAAGAAGGCCTTAGAACCCCAGGGGCATGGCGAGGGGGAAAACAGAAACGAGCACCAACTTCCCTTTCATCACTGCAGTGATTTTTGGTCACTCTAAGTCTGGCCCAAAGTTCCTCTTCTGTTTAGAAGAACTGGGATCACCTGAGCAGCCAGGAGAACCTTCCATTTTCCCGGCAGGAAAGTATGGCTGGGGCATCTGCCTCCTTCTCGGTCTGTTCCGCTCCCAGGCTGTCAGGTCAGTGGCCATAAAGGCCCCCGGAGGGATGCGCGGGAGATGTGCTTAGTTTCTACCTGTGGATGGATGAGCACGGCCATAGGGGGAGCGCTTGTGACTCCCTCCCTCCCTGCAAAGTGGGAAATGAGACTTCTTATGGCTGGGACTTTTGCATCTGTCGTCTCCAAAACCCCAGGAGACCCACAGCCTGGGATTTTGGCTGCTTCTTGCTTGACTTCCTCACGCTGGATCAGCAGACTATCTACGTGAGGCTCCCATCTCCATCACCCAGCATAGATGCCCCCCAAGCCCAGCCCCTTCCTACTCAGGGGCCTCAAGCTTGGTGGGGCCTCTGGATCCTTTCCTGGGACCAGTGAGGGGATGCATAGGCACGTCATCAATACCTCATGCTACAAACCAGCAGACGTTTGGGAAAAGTCAACTTTTCAACAGGGAAGAGGTCACACACTCCGTATCATGCTGTGTGGCAACTTCTCTCCCTCACATGCCTCAGAAGGAGACCAGGATCCCCAAAGCGCCCCCCCGCCAGAGCCCTGAGTAACTTGGCCTCTTCTCTACCCTCCGCCCTGGACTATGGCAGGTTGTGGATGTTGGGCCAGGAGCAGAAGGGCTGAGGCAACTCTGGAGCTTGACTGGGCACCAACCATGACAGTCCAGAAGCAAAGCATTCTAACATCTTTTTTTTAAAGAGTTTATCTATTTATTCACAAGAGACGCAGAGAGAGGCAGAGACACAGGCAGAGGGAGAAGCAGGCTCCACGCAGGGAGCCTGACGCAGGACTCGATCCTGGGACCCCGGGGTCACGCCCTGAACTGAAGGTTGATGCTCAACCGCGGAGCCCCCCAGGTGCCCCCGTTCTAACCCCTTCTGAACACTGGTGGAACCAAGGTTCTGCAACCAAATGAGCAGCCTGAAGAGAGTGGGTGTAGTCACGACCGTTCAGAGACATGGAGTTAGGGCGAAGCATTAGCTAATGTCAAAGGTGAGAAGAGGCAGCAGTTCTGGAAGCTACAAACAGGATATGGGCAGGAGGAGATGAGATAGGGTGAAAGGCACAGCCCCCTGGCGCCCAGCTTCTTTGTACCTTGTGGGAAGTCGGGGAGGCGTGCTCTCTGGCAGGTCCTCGTCCAGCGAGGGGAGCCGCTCCAGTCGGAGGCCCAGGAGCCTGGAGAGAGCAGTGGGCTGAGTAGGAACGTAGGATCCTCCCAAATCCCAAATCCTGAAGCCCAGAAGCCCCGCAGGACAGGTGGCTGTTTCCTGGACCTCCTCATTGTTTCCACCCTTGTCCCCAACCCCGCCCTGCCGTCCAGGCCCACGGGCCCAGATTCAGCAAGGCCCGGCCCGTGGCCAGGACCGTCACGCGTTGTTGGGTAAGGTCTAGATCGTAGTTCTCTCACGTCTTCGCTGTGGAAATGCAAGAGCTGCCAGAAGCCAGCAGCAGCCTTGGGAGACAAGTCTCAGGGCTGCCAAGGGGTCGCCCTCCCTCCTCCCCCTGATCTCCACCTGCCCCGGCCCTTCCCTCCCTCTCCCCCCTCTACCCCCTTCCATCCTCTTTCCTATCTTCCAGGTCATCTTTGTCCTGGAAAGCACCAGGTTTCTCAGACTTGGCAGACTTCCTCAGAGCAGAGGAGCTTCCGGAGAGAACCTCGTCCCTCCCGAGCCCCTGGAGGCTCCTCTTGGCCTCGCGGCAGGGAGCAGGGAGGATGACCCGCCTGTACCCAATGCTGGCTCTCTGGGCCCCACCTGGACAAGGCGCTGGGTCTCTAAGCGGCCTCGTGACAGCCGGCAGTTTCCCGCGTGGCCTCTTCGCTGGTCCCTTGCTCCCAGCTTTCCCCATTGGAACGAACTTTCTCCGAGTCCCTGTCCTCGTCTGTCTTCGGCCTCAGGTCTTTCATTGGCTCCTTGTCATCTGCCCGCCGTAAGCCAAAGTTCAACCTTCTTAATCTACCCCAAGGGTCCTCATGACCTGACCCCCGGGGCCCATGAGCCGTCCCCTCCGGGTCCCGTCACGCTCCACGTTCCGCCACTGCCACAGGTCCCTGCTGTCTCATGCCCCCACTCCTAAATATGCTAACCCCTCCACCTGGGACTGTCCCCTCTTGCACCGCCCTTGGATGGTGTGTATTCTACGGTTGTGCTCATCCCACCGTGTTGTCATCTACTTGCTCTGCTCTGTCCTTCCACCGGGTTGTGGGCTGCTGGAGCGCAGACATGACGTAGCCATCTCAGGTCCCCATACGGCACCTGGCACCCCAGAGGCGCTCGGCAGGTACTTGCAGGATGGATGCCCACGTGGGTAATGCTGGGTGACGGGAGTCCTACAGGAGAAATGGTAGCCCTGGGACAAGGTGGCTGAAGTGTCGCGTAACAGGCCCTGGAGGAGAGAACCAACCGCCTCTTCCTGAGAGCCCAGGACGTCACGGGGGGGGGAGGGGGGACGAGCTGTGGTTGAGGCCAGGCAAGGAGCCTAAGCCAGAAATGGGAACTTTGGGAAGCCACAACCACCTCTGTGGGGCCCGCTTCCCGTTTCTTCTGGATAAGAGGCCCTCAGGGGGGCAGCCGGGGGAGCCCCTGTGCTCCGGGGGTGAGCGCGCAGGATGAAGGCGGCCGAGAGCGAGGGCCCGGATGCGCACTTCGCGGTGGACAAGCAGAGCATCTCCCTGTGGCCCCGAGGCAAGAGCAGCCTCTGCTCCGGATCTGCCTCCCGCTCTGTCCTGCTGTCGGCGGCCCCGACAAATGCTTCTTCTTCTCCTGCAGAGCCTCCTCCCGACACAGGCCTGTGTCCCATCCCGAGGAAGCCGTTGGTGGTCCGGGCCGCGGCCGTTGTCCTCCTGCTGGGCCTGAGCGCGTCCGTCCTGCTGCAGGCTGCTCTCTGTGAGTCCTTGGGGTTCACCGTCCCAGCTGGGGCCTTCTCCACAGCCAGCCAGCTCCCTCAACACCCCGACCCTCTCCTGCCTGCTGTCCAGGTGTCCCCCACCTCTGGCTTTTCCGTTGGTCTCACGTCTCCTCTTTCCAGGTGCAGTCACAGGGTCCCCTGTCCCCAGTGAGATGAGGCGCCTCTCTCTCCCTCCCGGTTGTGGGGACATTTTCCTGATTGGGATCAGCACCTGCATGTTTGTGCTCAAGGAAATGCTCTTTTGTACCCAGGAAACATTCACCCATTTCTTCATCTCACGTGTCCGCCCAACCCCAGCTGTGCCCCTTTTATTTGGAGCCTTGTGGGCAGCTGCTAACAGTGAGTGAAACGTTTCCTGGCCCCACCAAAGGACTTCTGCCTGCATCCTCAGCCTCAGCTCACGAGGTGGAGAATCTCCCAATGAGCTGACCGATGTCACCAGGACCCCCTCACGCTCTCTTCTTCCTTCTTCCCATTCCTGCCGAGGTCCCATCAAGGGAGACTTCCTGCTCATTCACTGGACGTGTGGCTTCTCTCTCCTCTTCTGCTTTGCCAGCCCCTCATGCTCTCTGCTCCCAGAGCCTGCTCCCTCCTACCAGGTCTCCAGAAAGCAGAGGGAGGGAACATCTGTCTTATCCCTTCAAGGCTTTGGGATGTATTTGGTCTCAGACCTGGAGCCTCTGAGCAGAGTTTCCTCTTGGGTTGTTGTTGGTCTCTCCTATGTGGCACCCAAGCCCGTGACCTAGCAGAGTACGACGGTGGGTGGGACACGGGAAGGGAAGAAATGGTTTCCTAATTCCCTCTTTCCATATTCGCTGGAGAAGAAGCCACTTCCAGATTGGAAGTCCACATGGTTGGCCCCATCGTGGCCACAAGGGGCCTGTGGGCAGATGTGGGAAGGGTGCTGCCTTAGCTGACGCCCCTGCAGGGCCTCTGAAAGGAGAGAGCTGGGCTGCAAGAGATGGAGCCCCCCGGGATGCAACCAGGGGGCATCTAGGGCACCCTCTGTGCCCTGAACATGCAAAGAAAACTTAGGACTGGGTACTAATTCCCACTTCTGCTCCCCCGGGAGGTCCTCCAACAGAGTCTTGTTTTAGTCGTCTCTGCATTATCTGCATCTGCAAGAGTTCTCAGCCAGGGCCGGGCGCCCGTTTCATGTGTGTTGACTTGAGCACATTATGAATGAATGCAGGGTGAGCAACAGGTCTTTGGGTAGCTTGAGCCTATCCCCTCCTTTCCCTTCCTTTTATCATCCTGACAACACCCCCAGTCCCTGGGAATCCCCTCGGCTGACCTCTTGACTTTCTCAAATCCAGATCCCTGGTTTATGCGCACAATGTCAGACGTGAAGACCAATGCCCAGTTGCTCAGAGGCCGCGTGGACAACATCAGCGCTCTGGGTTCTGAGGTTAAGAGGAATAGAGGCGACGTGGAGGCAACGCGCATTCAGGTCCAGATGGCGAATGCCAGCCTGGATCACGTGCGTTCTCAGGTCCGGAGGCTGGAAACCGGCGTGAAGGAAGCCAATGCACAGATCCAGGTGTTAGCAAGAAGATGGGAGGAGGTCAATGATTTAAATGCCCAAGTTCCAGAGTTAAAAAGAGAGTTGGACAAAGCCAGTTCTTTAAATGCAAAGGTCCGGGGACTCCAAAGCAGTTTGGAGAATATCAGCAAGTTGCTCAAACAGCAAAGTAAGTGACTCAGAAAAGCAGCTGAAAAAAAAAAAAAGAAAAGAAAAGCAGCTGAAAGCCGCCCCATGGCCATGGAGACTCAGCAGCCTCCGCGAGGCCATCGGGTGGGCATTCGTGGGGGGAAGGGGTCGGGCCCGAGCAGGCGGCCAGCGCTCAGCGGTGGGGTCGGAGGACGAGGGGCTACGGGCAGAGAAGGGCCAGGCGCCAGCACGGCCCTCACACCAACGCGCCGAGGGTGAAAGCGTTAGGGAGTCTCTGTTCTGCCCCCAAACTGGCCATTTACCCGTTAAGTTCCTTCCCCGAAGCTGGAGGCTCAGCCACGTGCGATGCCCCGCAGAGAACGGCTTCCCCTCGGGGGAGAGACAGACTCTCCATCAGTGTCTCTACCTCTCCCTTATCAGAACCCAGAGACTCGACCGCTCTCAGCCAGGGCTTCGGCAGGTGAGGCAGGGGCCCTGAGCCTGCACCCCAGGACCCCAGGACCCCAGGACCCCAGGGTCCTAGGACCCAGCCCTATTCCCTGCCCCACTTGAGAGCCACCCCCAACACGGATGCCCGTGTTCACGTCTCGCCCTTATTCTCCAGATGACATTTTGCAGATGGTTTCCCAAGGCTGGAAGTACTTCAAGGGGAACTTCTACTACTTTTCTCAAGTCTCAAAGACCTGGTACAGTGCCCAGCAGTTCTGTATGTCCAGGGATTCACAGCTGACCTCAGTGACCTCAGAGAGTGAACAGGTGAGTGCTATAGCAACAGGCTCTGGGAAGGGGGCGCCTTAATAGCTGTATAAGCAGGATCGGCAAGATTAGGGTGCAGTGGCAGAAATCCCCAAGTGTCAGCGACCTAGCAGTGGAGGCTTGCTTCTCAGTTCCACGGCTTGTCCAGCAGAAGCCTGCAAGGGGTTGTTCCCATGTGCTTCCACACGGACCTATGCGTCCCGAAAGGGACATCATCCCAGCGCGTGTCCCCACAATTCCGAAGGAGGGAAAGAGAACGCGGCGAGCCCTATGTCGGCTCTTAAGCTTCCGCCTGCAAATAACAGACACGTCTGCTCACAGCTCATCGGCCAGAGTGAATGATGCGGTAGTTCCAGCTTCAGGAGGGCGGGGAGGGGCAATCTTCCCACGTGCCCAGGAAACAGACACGTTTGTGAACCGGGTTAATAGCCCCACGCAAGCCAGGAAGTGTCCTGTGTGGCCAGCGGGACACTGAACCAGCCCCTTCATCGGGGAGGTGGGCTGGGAGAGCAGCAAAGCGGTGTGCTCTCGAGCCAGAATCTGGAGCCCAGCCCTGCCTATAGCTGGTCCTAGAGCCCCGGGCCGCTGACCTAACTTCTCGAGCTTCGCCTGTTAATCAGCGAGACGCACATGACACGTCCCTGCTTCCGAGGACCGAGGACCGCTGAGTAGGTGCCAAGCGCTCAGAGCATTCAGGCGTCGTGATCTGGGCCCTTCTCCCGGGGCCCCTGCTCTGGGGTTCCGCTGAGTCCTTCTCGTGCTCTGGCACCTGTTTCCTGAGAAGAGCCTGAGTCTGTTACTTGTGGGGCCAAAACAAAGCAGGATTTGGAAGGTGGACTCTGGCTGGGGCTAGGAAGGGACTTGAGAGGGGTCAGTGTGTGGTGTGTGGGGCGGTCCCTGAGGACAGGCGGAGGAGCTCCGAGGGGCCGACGTGCCAGCTGAGCGGAGCGGCGCCTCCCCCCTGCCCCCTGCAGGAGTTCCTGTACAGGACGGCAGGTGGACTTTCCTACTGGATCGGCCTGACCAAAGCTGGGAGCGAGGGGGACTGGTCCTGGGTAGATGATACCCCATTTGACAAGGTCCAGAGTGCACGGTAAGCCCTGGGGGCTCCTTCCCAGCCTGCCCTTCCTGGGCCGGGGCCAGGGCGCACAGGTGGGGTGACTCCGGGGCTTGTAGTCCTTCCCTGGCCTCGGGCGGCAGGAGCACTAAGCTGAGATCCAGCGCACCTGTGCCACTCGTTGCCTGTGGGACTGGGGACGAATCCGTGGCCTCTCCGTGGCCTCCTCGGGAGTGGAGTGACCTCCCCTGGGGGAGTGACCACGCATTTAGAGGTTGACAGCTCACCAGCCCCCTTCCTCTCAGGCATGCGTGCAAAAACGTGATGCTTCCCCCCAGGACCAGAGCTGGGACTCAGGTCCCTCATTTCTTCGTCGGAAACAACATTTTTTTGTTTTTTTTTTTCCCCTCTGGCAGGTTCTGGATTCCAGGTGAGCCCAACAATTACAAGAACAATGAACACTGTGCTGATATAAAGGTGTCCTCGCTTCAGTCATGGAATGACGTCTCCTGTGACAGCACGCTCTTCTTCATCTGTAAACGGCCCTACAGCCCATCAGAACCATGACGGGCCTGGCCCCAAGCTGGCGCGTTCAGCTGCAATGCTTGTCAAACTCGAGAAAACGCCCCTCTTTCTTCCAATCCCAGGGGGACTTTGCACCTTCATCTTTCTGGCTTCGGAATTGTGCACAGAGGCACCCTGGAGGTCACCGGCTGTGGCTGGGAGCTCTCCGGTCGGTGCCATCGAGGCAGCTGGCATAAAGGGCGAGGAGGGCGGAGAGGATTTAGAAGGTCACACTGCCCAGGACGGCGATCGGGGTCTTGGGTTCCAGGTCCCTTCAGAGAAGCCGCAGTTTTATCACATGAAAGTGGCTTCACAACATGCAAACAATGTCTAGGACTTTTCCAGTTGGTCCCACAGAGTTCCCAGCTGCGTGGGGGCCGTGCTGTTCTCAGCGGGAAGAGCTGTGCACCCGGTGACCCCGTCCGGGCCCCGTCCCCGTTGCCTCTGCATCCACGTCCCCTGACGTGTGAGCCCCTCTCTGAGCGGGGGCACCTGGTTCAGGTCGGGGGCTGGCGTGGGAAACAGGCCCCTTTGGAGCCGGACCAGTATCCACGCTCCTTCTCGCTCCCGCTCACTGGGCAAGCTCTGTGGCCCGGCCCTGTGTTCTGTGCCGCCCGTGCCCCCGTGCCCCTGTGCACCCCGAGCACCCCTCTGCATCAGCTCCCGACATCCCCTTCCTGCGGCATCTCGTCTCCGCCCCACGGGTGCAGAGGAAGAGGTCCCCTGTCCCCAGAGGGCTCACCTGGGAGCCGTATCAGAATCCAGCGTGTTGTCCCTGTGAGCGGGTCCCTGGCTGTCCGGGGAAGCGCGGGCAAGACCACCGGCTCTGCGGGCACGAAGCTCTGGGGGACCCCCAGGAAGAGCTGGGAGCTCAAGGCGGACAGGCAGCAGCGAAATGCTGCACACTATGACGGTGCATACCGTGGCTTTTACTGAAATAAAGGAGCGCGAGCTCTGCAGCGTCTCGACCCCCTCGGAGGTCTTCCATCTGCGATGCTCCCTGGACCGTGTTCCGTGGCCTGGCTCTGCTCCGGGGAAGGCCCAGCAGCGTCGCCCTCCTCACGAAGACTCTGCTCCCGGGCTTCGGGTCTACACCCGCTCTGCGGGCTGAGGCGGGGATGCAGGCGGGGCCGTAGCCGCCAGGGCAGGAGCAGAGGGGGCAGGAAGGACGGGGGGTGAGCACAGGGGTGGCTCCGCAGGGTGCCCCCGTCTGCCTAGGGCCTCGGCAAGCCCTCAGCAGGGCCCGGTCAGGACGTTTTTCTTTTACTGGGACCAATGGGCCGTGTCCTGGCTTCTAAGGGGTCAGGCTCAGGGCAGAGGCATTCGGAGGAAGCTTGAAGAAACACGGGCTAAATGGGATTTCTAAGATCCGGCCACGGATAAGGGATGGGCGGCGTGATCGTGTCCACGCAGGAGTTTTGCGGGCAGCTGCAGAGACTGCTGGGGTCTGAGGGCTCGGGCCTGTCGCCAGGGAGGACGGGCGAGCCGAGGCGGCTGCGGGCGACAAAGAACTCTTGTACGCGTTCACCAAGAACGATCTCGTTCCTACTCGTGATTCCAAGTAGCCAGTCCGGGGAGCACCGAGCCCCCTCCCGGGGTCGGCTCCGCGGCCGGAGCTCGAGCTGATGCGGAAGCCAAACAGCAGCTGCTGCCAGGAAGCTTTCCCGTTGTGTTTCCGACGGCGCGCTGCCCTCCGACGCCTTAGTCCTGAGGCCTGGGCTGCCATGTGAGAAGCACGCGGCCCTACTGTGCCCTCCCCCCAGGTGGCACCTGTCCCGGGGGCTGCCGGCTCAGAAGCTTGTGCCGTAGTGCCCGTCCTTCCCCTAACTAACCGAGAGCCCCCTGTTCTCAGCCGACGTCACCCTGTCTCGCTACTGGGCCAGCGACATCCACCCAGCCTTCAGCCTAGTGGCTTCCCCTAACCCACCTGCCCACCCACCTGCCCACCTACCCAGGAAACCACCCCAACAGCCAAGCATATCCCCCTGCAGGAGTCAGGGCCACTGTGTCGTCTTGTCGCCACCGCGCCTGCCTCCGTGGTCCTTGCGGGTCCACCATGCTCGCGGGTGTAGCCCCGTGGGCCCCCCAGTGTGGGGTGGCCTCCTCCTCCCGCCCGCGAATCACAACTAAGAGACGACTGTCAGCCTCCCCGTTTGGTGTGAGACGTCATCTGTTTCATCAGCTTCCTCTGTGTAGGGCAGGAGACCCCCCTCGATCCTACGGGCTGACCGCTTGTGTCCCCCCAAAATTCATATGTTGAAATTCTAACCTCCAACATGATGTGTGGCAGGTGGGGCCTGTAGGAGGTAATTAGATGATGGACTTCGGTGTCTGTCTCCGGTGTGGGTGGGCATCCTCAGCACCCGGCTCCTTGGCTCACGGACACCATAACACTCCTAATGAAATTCTAGGAATTTTCCTTTGTCAGATGGAAAGTTGGGAGCCAAGGACAGGTGAGACCTTTGTCACATCCAGCCTGTAGACTTTTTTTTTTTCAGATTCATTTATGTATTTATTCATAGAGATGCAGAGAGAGAGAGAGAGGCAGAGACACAGGCAGAGGGAGAAGCAGGCTCCATGCAGGGAGCCCAACGTGGGACTCGATCCCGGGTCTCCAGGATCACACCACCCGGGCTGCCCCAGCCTGTAGACTTCTTGGATCGTGGTGATTTTTCTTCCTGAATCAGTAGGCACGGTCCTGGACACGCCGTCCTGCGGTGTCCTTCCACGTGGGAAGAGGGACAAGCAAGTGCCTCTATCGTAAGGGCACTAATCCCACTTATGAGGGCCCCACCCTCACAGCCTCATCCCTCCCAAAGACCCCCCCTCCTAACACCATCGGGTTGGGGGTTAGTGTTTCACACACAGATGTTATTACTTCAATGCACAGACGTGCAGACCACAGCCATCCCCGTGGCAGCGCACGGCAGGAGTGGGGAGTTATGCTCCACTTTCCTGAAGATCGAGTATCTACATGAATTATTTGGAATTTTTTCTGCACGGGAGATATATGTAGTTGTCTATTTATCCAAATATTTATTTTGTCAGTATGGATTCATGGGGTTTTGTACTTTAGGTTATAGTGCAATACAACCTTATTCATTTTCTTGCTCAAATTCTCCCAGATTTGGCAAATAGGAGCGCTTCCAGATGGCTCCTGCGTGTTTTTTGATGTTCCTTCATCAGTTTTTAATTTTATCTATTTATTTATTTTTTCTTCATCAGTTTTTTAAAAAGCATCTCTTGGGGATCCCTGGGTGGCTCAGAGGTTTAGCGCTGCCTTTGGCCCAGGGCCTGATCCTGGAATCCCGGGATCGAGTCCTACGTCGGGCTCCCTGCATGGAGCCTGCTTCTCCCTCTGCCTGTGTCTCTGCCTCTCTCTCTCTCTCTCTACGTCTATCATAAATAAATAAATATTTTAAAAAATAAAAATAAAATAAAAAGCGTCTCTTTACTTTCGGGTACAACATGATGCTCTAGGTTCATTTTGTGTATTTCTTGCCCTGGTCCTAGAATCAGCTGTTTCTCCAAAAAGCCCTGGTTTCAACTTTTTTCTTTCTTTCTTTCTTTCTTTCTTTCTTTCTTTCTTTCTTTCTTTCTTTCTTTCTTTCTTCTTTCTTTCTTCTTCTTCTTCTTCTTCTTCTTCTTCTTCTTCTTCTTCTTCTTCTTCTTCTTCTTCTTCTTCTTCCTCTTCTTCTTCTTTTTATAATGATATTAGAAACCAAGGTCTGAGCGCTATGTGTGGCCACTGCAGCTGGGGTGTTGTTGCTTCCTCTTGGCTGGGGGAGCTAGGTAATGTGTATGTGGATACCTGATGTTTAATTAATTAATTAATTAATTAATTAATTTATTTATTTAAATTTTACTGATTTATTCATGAGAGACCCAGAGAGAGAGGCAGAGACACAGGCAGAGGGAGAAGCAGGCTCCATGCAGGGAGCCCGATGCGGGACTTGATCCCGGGACCCCGGGGTCACGCCCTGGGCTGAAGGTGGCGCTAACCACTGGGCACCCCGGGCACCCCGGGCTGCCCAATGTTTTCAAAGATCATTACGCCGGCCGTGTGGTGACAAGACTTGATGGGGGCAAGACTGGGGGCAGGGGGAACAGTTAGGAGACGAATCGGGTGAAAGCGGGTGAGACGGGGCCCTGGGGCTGCGACGGGAGGGACTGTCACTGTTGTTGGACCTGCTGTGGGACGCAGAGTTGGGACCCTTTGTGCGGCTGGCCGCTCACGTCATGCCCCGAAGCCGCTTGTCTCTGGCCCCTCATGCCCATCGAGCCCAGAGGGAGGGCCGGGACCATCCTCCCCAGAGCCGCCTCAGCAGTTCCAGGCCTACAACCTCACAGCTTTGCAGCTTTGGAGGCGCGAAGTCCCTTTCCTGACGGTTCCCACAGAAGTCCAGCATTGGCTCACATGCCCTGGCCTGAAGCGAGAACGGGCATCGGGGGGCTGGATTACGCTGATCCAGCCGCGAGCTCGTTCCTGGGGCTGGGGTTGGGTATGGCTTGGCCTCCCCTCTACTGGACAGACTGAGCAGGAGGGCAGGGTGGTTCTCAAGACGAAGGCCCAGAGAGGGATGCCGGGGAGCTGACCGGAGACCGAGCTCTCAGCTGCTAAGGCCCAGGGTGCAGGCTGCAGGCCTCCCCCTTCCACCCAAACTGCGGGATCTAGCTACATCCTGGAGGACAGCTGGCCTCCCTGTGCCATTAGGGTTGACATGGGTGACTGAGAAGCTTCTGCACCAGGGGTCTGAGCCTCTAGGGGTGTGGCCCTGAGCCCTTCCGTAGGTCAGGAGAAGCCAGGGTGCAAGAGGTGCCAGCGGATGGGTGGCTCTGGTAGTCACGTCTAACATGTCCAGAGAACGGAGCCTCTCGGCAAGGCTGTGGCCACCTCGGGTGTTTGCTGCCGGCAGACGGTGTTCTTGCAGCACAAAGAGGAGCAGGGAGCCTGTGACTGGGAGGAGGACGAGGACAGAGAAGTAGGGCAGGATCGGGAGCCCCATTGGTCACGTGCGAGGCCACCACCTCTGTGGGACCGTGTCCTCGCCCGGCCCAGGCTGCCCTTCCAGTTCTGCTTTACAGGATCCCTCAGCTCTGAGGCCCCTGGAGGAGGCAGTTCCTGGGTGGGCTTGGCCTTGGCCCTTCCCCATTGTGGGGAAATGGAAACCAAGGCAGGCTCCTGCTTTCCTTCTGCGACCCCAGGGCCTCTTCCCAGAGGCGAAGGGGCTTGCTGGACTTCCTGGGGCATCCAGAGGGGCTGCTGACTGCTCCAGAAATGGGTGCCTTCACGTTCCTCCTGCGTCCTTTCGTCTTGGGTCAGATTTCAACGGACAGGAGGTAGCAGGCCAATGGGTGCTCACCGTACACTCACACACACGCACACACACATGCACACACACCACTGCCGTGGCGTCATGAGCCGGGTGTAGGCAACCACCCCCTTCCTGCACAGTCAGCTGTGCACTCAGATGGTTGCTGGCTGAGTTGACGGTGGCATCCACCCGATGCGGGGCTCCAGGGTCATGACCTGAGCCAAGGCAGATGCTCCACCGCTGAGCCCCCAGGCGCCCCCCCACCCCTGGGGAAGTATTGATTCTGTTCATCTGTTTACCCCCTTGGGGGCTGGGGACTCTGGGCTCACATGGCTCCACCAGGACACCTCACTTCCCTGTCTTCTAAGCCCAAGCCCACAAGCAGCAGGGACCCCCCCCCCGGCCCGAAGCAGGGAAGTTACTCACTGCAAAGCAGCTCCGGGGCTTACCCCTCAGTTTCTTTTTAGTTAGTCCCAAAGTGGATCAACGGAAGGGAGCGTGGATCCAAGCTGCTAAGGGGGCTAAACTGTATCAAATTGGGGCCTGTTTGCTGTTTTCTGACGCCAGTCACTTCTCTGACATCAACTGTGTGGTCTACGCATCAAGTCAAATCTCACAATGACTTTTGGAGTTAGCACAGACCCCCTAGGTTAGGAGCTCAAGCCCATGAGATCGCCCCCACTGCAGATGGCACCTGTGGGTGGGGTCTCCAGGCATCCCACACTTCTGCACAGCCAACCACAAATCTGGGGGCTCCCATGAGCCCCCCTCAGCTTTGAAAATTCACTAGAATGACTCAAAGAACCCAGGAAAACACTATGCTCACTGTTACAGGTGATGATGCTAGGTCCTAGCAAGAGTCCCCAGCCCTTCCTTTGGTCTGCAGATTCCTGCTACGCTGACCTGGCTTCCCCCGCCCTGACCTCCTGTTAACTTGAGAGCGTCTGGGGCTGTGGTTAAGAGTCGGGCACGGGTCACACAGACGTCTTTCTGCAGCGCTGAGGAGGACCCCACCGCCTCCCGAGTGGCTGCTGAAGTGTTTGTGCCCCGGGGCTGAGGCTGGCTTTGGGGCCGTGCTGAGCTGGTGACGAGGGAGTGGGGCCAGGACCGGGGCTGACCGGCGCCTGGGGACCCGGAAGGACAGGACCCTACTGGGGCCCTTCTGCAGAGTCAGCGGGGGGGAGGCCCTAAGTCCGGGGCGTATAAGTCCGGGGTGCCGCAGCCTCACTTCCCTGTCCCGGGCACACCGCACAGCCTGCCCATGGGGGGTGCGCGGTGGGGAGCAGCGCCGGAGGCCGAGGGAGAGATGGGTGGTGACAGGGTGCACTTCTGCACAGGCAGCCAGAGGGTGTCCCTGCGCGCCCCAGGTGAGAGAACGGGGGTGTCAGCGCATCCTCATCGGGGCGTCGCGCTTGGCCCCCAGCCCTCGGCATCTCCGCCAGCCCCCGGCAGGCAGGTCTCGGCCCCTCCCCAGCCCAGCGTCCAGAATCATAGGCAGGGGCTGAAGGTGAATCCGGTGGGGGCGGAGAGCCTGGTGCACCCCCAGTCTCTGCGTGAGGCCTCCCCAGACCCTTTCCCTGGGGGTCAGCACGGGCCCCGTAGGGTAAGGGCTCCATCCCACGAGGTGGCCCCCCATTCAGGTGGCACCTGAAGGCAAGCCCCACTTCTGCACAGATGACTGCAAACCTGGGGGCTCCCGGGACCCCCCTCAGCCAAAGGGCCGGGAGTCCTGCTCTGGTCACGGTTCGTGGGCAAGCCCGGGCCCGGGGTTCAGAGGTCGGGCGGCCCCTGCTCTGTCCCTCCCGCATCCCCCCTTCCATCTTCCATGCAAACTCCCTGCCCTTGCCCTCCTTGCCGCCCTGTGCCCCGCACCCTCTGCACCCTCCTCCGGGTTGTGTGACCTCCCACTGCCCTTGTGCTGCCACCGCGCCACGTGCTTTACTCCCCATCTCCGTGGTAAGCGTGGCTGGAGTTCTCATCCGCACCAGACAGGCCAGGGCACTGAGCCCGAGGGCTGGCCCTGTGCACCCGCTCTGGGGCGGACGCTGGCTTCTCTCGCAGGGCTGGACTCGGCGGCGGGGGCTCCCGTGGCCCCCAGGAAGCTAAGGCTCGCTCAGACCACCGTTGCAGTTATGGCTGTGACTCTTGTCTCCTCGCTGGTGGCTCTCATTGTTGTGGGTAAGCTCCTAGGTGACCTGAACCCCACTGACTCTCTCTGTCTTCCTGCAAAGGGCCCCACGCACGCTAGTCGCATACCCTCTGCATACAGGCTCCCTGGGGCTCCAGGCCTGACCCAGATCTTACCTGGGACTCCGCCAAGGCCCCGTCCAAGGGGAGTCTCCCAAGAGCAGAGAGCCATGGAGTGAAGTCTGAAGGGGGCCATCGCCCCCGTCTGCAGCCCTGACCGGGGCTGGGGCGGCCTGTTCCGCAGCCCTCGTGCGGGGAGTGCTGACCCAGCGATGGGTGTCTCAGTCCTGCAGAAGCCAGGATCCCCGCCGCTGGAGCCCGTTCAGCAGCTTCAAGCCGCGACTCCGGGAGACAAGGCCGCGGCCGAGCAGCTACCTGCGGGGCCGCACGGTGAGTGCACAGGGCGGTAGGGCCGGGTGGGCCGGCAGGAGCCTCTCCCTGGCGCCTCCTTTGCCCCTGCACGGGTTCCAGTTTTCTCACAAGAAGATACAACCTTCTTTAAAAAAACAGCCTTATTAAAAAAAAAATAATTAATAAAAAACAGCCTTACTGAGGTGTCCCTGGTACCTAATAAAGTACAGTATTTAATACACTCTGATGAGCTTTGCCTCCTGCGTATACCGTGAAAGCCTCACGCAGTCAAGGTAAATATGAGCATATTTGTCACCCGCCCCGTAAAGTTTACTCGTGCCCTTTGTCCTCCTTCCCTCTCCCCTCCTCTCTTCATCCCCAGCCCACCACCTACCTACCTGCAGTAACAGAGATTAGTAGGCTTTTTCTGGAGTTTTATATAAAAGGGATCCAGTGCTATGTACACTTTTTGGCCCTTTATCAGCATGTAATCTGCAAATATTTTCTCGCAGTTAATGGTTTGTCTTTTCCTTCTCTGAACAAGATTTAAATCTAAATAAAGTCTAATTTATCTTTTTTTTTCTTTTATGGATTGTACTATATAGTTCCACACTGGAAACCTATCCCAAGGTCACAAAGACATTTACCTACGTTTCCTCCGGGAAGTTTTACACTTCTTGGTTTTTACATTTTGGTCTATAATTAAATTTTGAGTTAAGCTTTATATTATGGTGTGAAGCCTGAAGTTAATTTTTATTTCACCTGTGGATATAACAGTTGTTGCAGCGCCATTTGTTGAAAAGATTATCATGAATTACTTTTGTGTCTTTGTTGAAAATCAGTTGTCCTTTTATCTGTGAGTCTATTTCTGGATTCTTTTTTTTAATTTTTATTTATTTATGATAGTTACACACACACACACACAGAGAGAGGCAGAGACATAGGCAGAGGGAGAAGCAGGCTCCATGCACCGGGAGCCCGATGTGGGATTCGATCCGGGTCTCCAGGATCGCACCCTGGGCCAAAGGCAGGCGCCAAACCCCTGCGCCACCCAGGGATCCCTCCTATTTCTGGATTCTTTATTCTGTTCCACTGATGTATTTGTCTATCTTTACAAGACAGAGTATTTGGATTTATCTTCAAGGGCCACCTGGCCCCACCTGGCCTTACCTCAGCCTAGGGGCTGAGACCTCATACGTTTATTTAGATAGGGCATGAGGAATGGGGCAGGAATCTTCCAGAAAGGGTCCCTGCCTACTTAGGTTCTTCTCCCCATCCCTGAGGGAAGGCTGGAATCAAGAGTCTTAGACCATAAATGTCCAAGTTAAGGTCTCAGTTTGCGAGGTGAGCGAAGGGTGCTAGGCGGACCCGCGGCAGCTGCGGTAGGTCTCGGAGGGACAGTCAAGCAGGTGAAAGGAGCTACCAGTTCCCTGAACGACCCTAGTGACCAGGGCTTTCACTCAGGTCTCCATCCTCAAGCGACTGTGTCAGGCCCCTTGCTCTATGTGACATGGGATGTGCCAACCCTTTAGAAGGCCCTTACGCTCCAGGGTCTGGGGTCACCTGGAGGGCCTCCACCACAGCCCGGGTGCAGACTGAGCTCAGTGTTTCCTCTGCAGGGACCTATTTGGTTTACTTTCTGGACTTTGTGATCAGAAAACTCTGTTTGTGGTCTACACGGTCCTCAGGAAGTGATGGTGGTGAATCAAGAGGCCTCGTGCTTGGTGTACGACTACAGGGGAGCACTAAACGTGGGCTTTATTCATACCTGATTTTTTTTCACAATGGCCTATTTAATGGTGACATTTCAGTGGAGTTCTACTTCAGTCGCTTTCAATGATGTAATAAATTACCTTCAAGTTCAATTACGATGGCAAAATAACAAGCCTGACCAGCGTGACTCTAGTGGGAGCTAGTTTACAGGAGGCAGGTATTTCAATCCTTCCATCCCTCAGTTCATGGGGGACAGTTAAGTAGACCTTTATTTTATTTTTTGGCTCAAAATCTCTGGTGGCCATTCCCAGGGTCTGGGTGGCTGCAGTGAGCAGGAGGCTGCTTGAGCACCAGGGCTGTGCCTTAGACGTTTCCCTTAGAAAATGTAAAAACACAATAGTTGGCCCATATAACGAATGCTTACCTGTGTAATAGGCCTCTGTGGCTGCCTTCTCCATTTCCTCCCTCCAGATCCCCACCGCTCTGACGGGCTGGCAGAGTTGCAAGAGACTATCCAGATGTTTAAAAGCCATGTGGAGAATTCCAACACCTGGAGCACAGAGATCCGGATGTTGACTTGCAGAGTGGACAATGTCAGTTCTCAGATCCAGGTGCTCAGTGGGCATCTGGAAGATGCCAGTGCTGACATCCAGATGGTAAAAGGCATTCTACAGGATGCCAATACCTTGAGTTTCCAGACCCAGATGTTGAGGAGTTCGATGGAGGGGGCCAGTGCAGAGATCCAGAAACTAAAAGGAGATCTGGAAAATGCAAATGCTTTAAATTCCCAGACCCATAGTTTCTTAAAAAACAGTTTAGAAAATGCCAGCATTGGTCTCCACATGCTGAGTGGAGGCTTAGGAAACACCAACACTGAAATTGCAATATTGAAGGCAGGGCTGAAAATGGCAAATGCCCAGGCCCAGTGGGCAAACAGTAGTCTAAAGAATGCTAATGCTCAGATCCATGTTTTGAGAGGCCAACTGGCTAGTGTTGATGATTTAAGGGCTGAAAACCAGGTTTTAAGAAGCAGTTTGGAAGGAGCCAATGCTGAGATCCAGAGGGTCAAGGGAAGCATGCAAAATGCCAATGCTTTAAACTCCCAGACCCAGACTTTTCTAAGAGGCAGTTTAGACAACACCAGCTCGGAGATTCAGTTATTAAGAGGTCATTTCAAAAGGACTGGGGATGAGATTCTCTTGTTAAAAAGAGATTTGGAAACAATCACTGCCCAGACCCAGGTAACAAGCAACCATCTGGAGCAGACAGATGCTCAGATCCAATTATTAAAAACAGAGCTTGAAAATGCCAATGCCTTAGATCCCAAGATTCAGGTGTTAAGCAGTTATCTGAAAAATGCCAGCAGTGAGATACAGACCCTAAAACAAAGAGTGGAAGCTGCTGCATCGTTAGTTTCCAAGACCCAGATGTTAGAGAGCAATCTGCAGAAGGCCAATGCCGAGAACCAGCAGTTAAAGTGGGATTTAGAGAACACCAAAACGCTAATTAAGAAAATCCAGGAGAAGCAGAATGGCCTGGAGACAATCCGTGAGGCCTTAGGTTCCCAGGAGCAGCTACAGAGGACCCAAAGTAAGTGGGATGAGAGTGTGGCCGGGGAGGTGGCCTCTGGGCGGGCACAGTCTTCTGTCCCTTCAGCCTTTCACTTACTTCATGCATTCCCCCCGGGAAGGAGGATGGGTTCTGGAGAAGGGCTGAAGTCACCCGAATAGGCTCAGTGTGCCTAGGCAGTGGTGGAAGCAGCATAAGGCAGTCATCCCTGCTCTCAAATGGCTTGTCATTTGGCCAGAGTGACAAAACAACACTCGAGAAACGAGCGATGTGTGGGAGGCATGCAGGGAGGCATAAGACGTGTTTTATAAGGGGCAGGTCTAAGAAATCGGGGCGGGGGGGGGGAACAAAAAGAAGGGAGAGAAAGGACCTCCCAAGGTTGACGTCCTCTGATAGAGAAAGGGATCTTTGGAGTTGGGGAGAAAGGTTTTGGGGGAGGCAGGATCAAAAGATGCTTTGTGGAGAACTGAGTCCTGAAGGACTAGTAGGTGTTTGCCAAACAAGTAGGGTAAGAGGGTGGCAGGTACACAGGCATGAAGATATGAAACCATAAGGTTCAGGAAACTTCCAGCAGTTCAGTCTGACTAGACTGTGCCCAAGAGGGCAGGTGATGATGAAGTGCAGGCTGAGAGGATAGGAGGCAGGGGCCAGAATGGTGGCTTTCACACTGTTTTGAATAGAAACCCACAATTCATTTATATCATGACCCGATATAATTATGTGTTGCACACACACATTTCAAAAGCCAAAGTTTTTACCACTCTGATATTTTATAATCTATTCTTTAATTAAAAAAAAAACACACCTTGAAACTTCCCATGAATGGGTTCATGATTGTACTTTGAAAATCACTATGCTAGAAAGGTAGACTTGGAGAGACACCAGATGGATGTGGAAGGCCTCTGAGTTTGGATTTTATCCTTTAGGAGATGAGGGTCTATTGGAGGGCTTCAAGAAGGCTGACCAGATGGGTCTGCATACTGAGAGGGGAGAAAAGAAGGAAGACGAACAGTGAGATTTGACATGCTGAGCCTGAGGTGCTTTGGGATATTCAAGTGGCCGTCATCTGGAGGCTGTTTGGGATGTAGGGGACGGGCGCTGGCTGCAGACGCAGCTGGGGGAGCCCTGGGTTCGTTGGTTCTGGTTGTGGCAGTGGGAGTGGGGGGTTGTGCAGGAGACATATTGCTTTATGGGAAGAAAGCTGAGGGCAGAAACAGGAAGTCAACCTTCAGGTGGCAAGAAGGGAAAGCAGTGTTTTTTGAGGAGACTATCCAGGTAGGCAGTCTTAGAGGAGAAGGAGAACCAGGGGATGTGCAGTTGGGGAGGCTACAGAAGGAGAGAATTTTGAGGAGGTGGTGGCTAGTGCTGGTGAATGAGCTCACGTAAGATAACCCATATGCGCCCACTAACTCTGGGCAATTAATAAGTCATTGAGAATGAAGTTCCTGTGGGGAGTAGGGTGGGCCCTGGGGGCAGAGAACCCTAAGCAGGGTGTGAATGAGAGGAGCGTGATGAGGCTGAGGTGGGGCATGGCATGGCAGAGGGAGGGAGTAAAATACACATATCATTGCTATTTACATCGTAAAAACTCTGTATTAACAACAGACAATGTGCAGAGATTGAAAAAGAAAATGATGAGAAAATAACCACTTGTATATCCATGAACATTTCTATATTTTTAAGAAGACTTCTTTATTTGAGAGGGGGGGGGCAGGGGTGGGGCAGAGGGACAGGGAGAGACTGAGCACAGGGCCTGAGGTGGGGCTCGATCTCATGCTCTTGAGATCAGAGCTGAAACCAGGAGTTGGAGGCTCAACCAACGGAGCCACCAGGTGCCCATCTACACTTCCTGCATGAGTCCACCTCTGAAATGAGTAATACATTATATGTCAATTAAGTGAGTTTAAGTAAAAAATTTTTTAAAAACAGGGTGTTGTAGTGGGGAGGGAGGGACGAGCTGAGAGTGAAAGAGGCTTGTGCTCACGGGGTAAGTTTTCAGAGCTTGAAATTGGGGGGTCAGATAGAAGCAGGCCGGGAGTCGGTGCTGGTGTGGGCAGCCGCAGGGGATGGAGGTGAGCGAAGGGAGTGGGGGTGCAGCAGGAGGGCGGCGCCGCCTCTTAGGTAAGGGAGAGGAGGGGAGGTGCAGGGGTGAGGGTGTAGCGGGGGGTGGGGTGGGGTGGGGGAAGGTACTGCCTCTTAGGGAGGGGTGGGGAGGGGGTGTGAGGTGCAGGGGGCTGCGCAGTGATGGCAGCGAGTGGTACAAGAGGGCGGCAGCCGGGGGCAGCAGTCTGGGCAGCGAGGCCATCAGGGCACCCCGGAGTGCAGTCTGGTGTCCGGCCGGGGACAGGGGTACTGGGTTGGGACTGGGGGCGCAGCCTCCCCGCGGTGCCTCTGGGGCCCTGGGCCTAAGCACCGCGCCGGCGCCTGTCCCGGGAGAGGTGGCGGAGCTCCTGGCTTGCCCAACCGACCGACCGACTGGCGTCATGTCCGCTCCAGATCAGCTTCTTCACCTGATCCTGCAAGGCTGGAAGGCCCACGGCGCAAGCTTGTACTACTTCTCTCACGTCAAGAAGTCCTGGCACGAGGCTGAGCGCTTCTGTGTGTCGCAGGGAGCCCACCTGGCCTCGGTGACGTCGGAGGAGGAGCAGGTCAGCGTGCACCTTCGGGGTGCGACTGTTGGGCAGGGGTGGGGTGGGAGGGTTTCAGGGCTCCAGCTTTCCTCCCCTCCCAGAGCTGGTGCAAGGCCTGCGTGCCTCATGTCATTCAGGGGACTCCCGGTGACTCAGGTCCCAGGGGTGTCTTGCTCTGGAGGTACAAGGACTGACAGCCGACCTTGCTGTCCTCGAGAATGAGGGAGGCACCCAGAGCCCACAGGTGCCCACAGGGAGGGAGGGCACTAGGGACTGTCCTTAGCATGTTGGGGGCATCTTTCCCTCCCTTCCCCCCTCTCCCTTTAGCTTCTGCTCGGGTGTCAGTCCTGATGTGACATCCGTTAAGGCAGTGGCCGTGGAAGGCCCAGGAGCAGGGGACCCAGCCCCTTGGGACAGCCGCACACAGAGTTTGAGGACCAGCAAAGGCAGCATAGCTGTGGGCCCCGGGGCCCTCTGCCGACGGCCCTACCAGAGTTCTCTAGGCCCTAAGCTGTTTGGTCCATCTCTGGAGCTGCCCCCGCTGTGGTTCTCCGGAGACCCTCCTCGTACGTCTGTCGAAGGACATGCGATGTTTTTTCAAATAAAATGCTTCTGGGCCACGGCCGGGTCAGTGCTGTCCGGTGAAGCTGTCCTCAGGGTCCCGTGGGGAGGCTGGGCCTGGCTGAGGGGACGGACCCCGGGGCCTGCAGGGCGGCGGGCCTCACGCCGCGCCAGGGAGGGGACAGTGAGCTCCCCTCCACGGGGCTGGGGATCGGCTCCTGGCCCTCGTCTCACGGCCCTGCCCTTTGTCACAGACCTTTCTGACGCAGTTCACGAGCGTGTCCCACCACTGGATCGGCCTCACAGACGGGGGCCACGAGGGCGTCTGGCGCTGGGTAGACGGGACGCCGTTCAGTGCTGGCCGGAGCCCGGTGTGAGTCTGGCAGCGACCCGGCGCTCGGGCCTGGCCGTCTACACGCCGCTGTGCTGTGCTGGGGGCACACCGTGGGTCCGACGCGGGCGGCCGTGTGTGCGCGGCGGCGTGATCGTGGTCCTCGCGTGGACGCCTCCACAGAGGGGCCTCAGGGCGGGATGGGCCTTGGGCCGGCAGGCAGCCTATCAGCGGGTCTTCCTGTGTTTTCATTGCTGTTTTGTTGTTTGCCTGTCCTTTTTTTTTTTTTTTTTTTAAGATTTTATTTATTCACTTGAGAGAGATTCAGAGAGTGAGCATGAGCGGGGAGGGGGCGGAGGGGGAGGGCGAAGCAGACCCTCCGCTGAGCAGGAGCCCAATGTGGGACTCGATCCCAGGACCCTGAGATCATGACCTGAGCCGAAGGCAGACGCTTCGCTGCCTGAGCCCCCCCACCCCTGCTCTTTCCCTCTTATGTCCTTTGAAGGCCCTGCCTCGGAGCGGGGGGACGCACAGCTTCAGACACCCTCCCATCCCTTGACCCCCGGTAACCACAGACCACCTTGGTGGGGCCACCCTTGGGCTCCCTTGGCCCAGCTGCATCCCACCCAGGGCTTCCCTGAGACGAGGGACCCGTATCACCCCGGCTCCTTATGCTATGGTCGGGGAAAGGGGCCCTTTCTTCGTCTGGCCGAGCCAAGCCCTCTACTTCCAGGTTTTGGGGCAGCCATCAGCCAGACAACTGGCAGCACGAGGACGGCCGGACGGAGGACTGCGTCCACATGCAGAACAAGTGGAACGACATGCTCTGCGACACCCCCTATCACTGGGTGTGCAAGAAGCCCACCGGCCAACGCGTGGCCTGAGGCGGGCCAGGAGGGAGGGCCACGGCCACTGCCAGCCCTGGCCCCCCCCACACACGCCCTGTGGAGACTGCTGCGCCCAGCCCGCTCCCCGGGGCTCCCCGTTCGGCCCTCTGTGTCCCCTGCTCGCCCTTTCATTTAGCCCTGCACACCTGCTAACGTCGCATGACCCGGGGGGCCCCAGGGCTCCTCCAGGCCAGGGCTTGCTGTGCCCCCGCGTCCCCCTCAGCTGCCAGCGTGGGCCTGAGACGGCGGCTCCCCAATAAACACTGACTAGTGCACGAGGGCTCCGGCTCGTCTGGCGAGGGCCGCCGCACCCTCTCCCCCTGGCGCGCTTCTCCTCCCTCGATGTCCCTCCTGAGCGTGAACCAGGTTTCTGGGTCTGACTGGCCCAGGGAAGAGCTGCGGAGGCTCCCCGGCTGCAGGGGTGAGGGCATCCCGGGTACCTGACACCTCCCCTGTGGCCGGGCGCTGGCGCTGGACTGTGCGAGGCCCTGGAGCCACTCCATACGGCTTCATCCTGTGGTAGCCCCCCTCATTTCCTGGCTGCAAACCTCGGGTGCTCTCTCTCTCTGGCTTTGGTGTTTTCTTGGGGCCCCTCCCCCTTCCAGGGACTGGAGTGTAGGACGAGAATCCCCGGAGCAGTTCGGGGCCCTGCCCCACGGACTCACAGCCTGGGAGCCCAGGGCAGGCTTCTGGGGCCCCGGCCTGCACGACTCCCTCCCCTCCGTGCTCCTCCCCAAACCCCTGGCAGCTCAGGATTCTGGGGAGCTCAGCCCACGCGTGTGGCTGCTCCTCCTGCACTGGGATATGGAAAGGGCCTCCACGAAGAATCCCAGGCAGCTGGAGGCTCAAGCTGTCTGCTTCCCCACTCGGGAACTCGGATTTCAGTTGTTTGATGTCTGAAAGCAATTGTTTCATCAACGGTTTCATGAATTTTGTCCAGTGTTCCCATTGCTGACAGCAAAAGGACTAGTCCCGTTGCTCCCCTGGGACCAGAAGTGGCCACCGGTCCTACCTGCTGTGGTACCTGTGGCTGAACAGGACTTTAACTCGTTTGTTTCCCTTTTTTGGCTCTCCTGTGGCATTTTATTTTATGGCTTCTTAGCTTTTCTTCAGTCTTAGAAACTCCTCCCCTACCGCAGGACTGAGATAACATTTCGCTGTATTTCTTCTAGTACGTTTACAGTTTTGTTTTTTTCTTAGACTTACATATGTTACTGGATCTGATTTCCTGAATCTCCTTGGTACTTTTGTGCTGTGGCAATGTAGATATTTACGGATAGGCTTATTGTTCTCTTTTTATGTATTTCTATTCTTTGTCTTAGGGTTTTCCTTTTTTTTTTTTTAAAGATTTTATTTATTCGTTCACGAGAGGCACAGAGAGAGAGAGAGAGAGGCAGAGACAGAAGCAGGCTCCCTGCAGGGAGCCCGACGTGGGACTCGATCCCGGGTCTCCAGGATCACGCCCTGGGCCGAAGGTGGTGCTAAACCGCTGAACCACCCGGGCTGCCCTCATGTTGTATTTCTAATAGCTTTTAATTTGTGTATTTCAGTGTTACTTTAACGTCTAAAGCTTCATAATCATAAAGCCTCCTTGAAGATTTTTACTTTTTACCAATATCCATGCAATCCAGGATCATTTCCTGTGCCTCTCCCATGGACCAGGCACTTTTCCAGGTTTTCAAGATTCGAAAGTGAAGGAAACAGGGGCGCCTGGGTGGCTCAGGAGGTCGGGCGTCCGTCTCTTGCTTTCAGCTCAGGTTGCGATCTCAGCGTCTTGAGACTGAGCTCCATGCTGGGCTCTGTGCTTGGCAGCGAGTCTGCTTGAGATTCTCTCCTCTACCCTCTGACCAACCCCACTCTCTCTCTCTCTCTCTAATAAATAAATAATAAGATCTTAAAAAATAAACCCTCCCAAAGTGAACAACAGATAAAAGCCCCTCCCGGCTCCAAGCCAGCACTCCAGTAGGGAGGACAGGTGGTTGGGACACCCAGTCCCTGCTCACAGCCCCAGGAAGGGTCCCCTGGGGCCTGAAGTCTGGCAGTGGCGCCACTCCGGAGTAGCGGCCAGCTGCTGGCTATCCGTCTAACCAACCTGGTCTGTGGCCTGGAGCTAATGGAACAGGGACGGGTAAACATCCTCATGCTCCCGGGTCAATTCTCACGTCTGGGCTGGCCCGTTCTCTCTGCAGAGAAGGTACTGAAAGCTGCAGTTTCCGCAAGAGAGAGCCAGAAAGGCAGGGCAATGGACTTCTCTACAGACTGAGCGGAGCCATCTGGGGAGACAGACTGAAGTGCTCCGCTGTCCTGGGGGAAGTGGTCAGCTCGTCGTCCTGGAGTCCCTGCCCCACCCCGCCTCTGCTGTGGGGACGCTGTAGAGCTGCCACCGCAGGTGACCAGGGATCGCACTGGTGAGAGACCTAGGCCGTGACAGTTGGCGCCACGTGGGGCGTGCTGTTGGCACCCGGATGCCCACAGCCTTTCCTCCCAGCGCCAGACCCGGCCCAGTGGAGGCTGAGTCTGCGCAGGGTGGTTGGGGGAAAGCCCAACTCTGGCACACGGAGAAGAAGGCACAGACCCTCTGGCTGTCATGCAACGACCTTCCAGACTCGGTTTTCTAGGCCCAGGGAACGATTTCTCAGTCAGGAGAAAGCACATTGTGGAAGCAGATGCCACAGCCTTTTGGGGATCACTACCTGCGCTGTAGTCAGCGACTCTGAGCGTCCTCCGCCAGCCGATGCCCCGAAACTCTGCAGGTCTTACAGCCCAGATTTGCGCCTGGGCCTCCCGACCTGCCTACGCCTCGCCTCCCGGAAAGAGCCTCTCCCTTTGTGTTGCTCTCACATTTAAGGACCAGTTGTAAGTGGCTCTACCGCCATCTGCCGCTACCAATTCCTACAGCTCAAAGCCAACCAAGACCAGGGACCCCAGTACCAGCATAGCCCCAGGCCCCAGTGAGAGTTACGGGAGAGTGAGGGGGCCTGGGCTGCTCTCAGGAGGGGTGGCTTAGGAGAGCAGAGGGTCTGCTGGCTGGGCCCCAAGAAGGCTTTGCCCTGCGGGACAGGCCCTGTGCAGCAGGGGGGCCACCACACAGCTGTGCCTCAGTGCCCCTCCCCTCCCCAATGCAGCCTGGAGCCTACTTCCCCTCGAATCTCCTCAAAGCCCTGCTTCTGTTGCAATCTTATCCTTCTTAGACCTGACAAGCATTTCTCGCTGCAGCCGGTCCCAGGACTGGGATTCCAGGCCCTCTTCAAGGGGGCCCCAATGAACCTTTCATGACATCCCTGCTACAGCATCACCAGAACCCGGCCCTGGACCTCAGTGTCTCCCCAACCAGTTCTTTTTTTTTTTTTTAATTTTTATTTATTTATGATAGCCACAGAGGGAGAGAGAGAGAGAGGCGCAGAGACATAGGCAGAGGGAGAAGCAGGCTCCATGCACCGGGAGCCCGATGTGGGATTCGATCCTGGGTCTCCAGGATCGCGCCCTGGGCCAAAGGCAGGCGCCAAACTGCTGCGCCACCCAGGGATCCCTCCCCAACCAGTTCTGATCGCGGCTTCTGCACTTTTGCTCACGACACCCTCTGCCTGGGTCACCCATGACCTGTCTGCGTAATCGCCAAGTTTGTGGACATTGCATCTGGTTCGTACGTCATGACTGCTCTTGCAGCCGTCACTTACAGTGGGGTGGGCATCATGGGAGGCAGGAGAGATTGGTGCTTAGGGACCCAGGCTCCATGGCCAGACTGCCTGGGTCCAGTCCTAGCTCTGCCCCTGCCTCGCTGGGAAAGCTGGTTGCTTGATTTTTGTCTCTCAATTTCCTCTTCTGTGAAAAAAGTACAGGGTCCCTCTCTTGAGGCTCGTGTGCAGATTAAGAAAGTCAATCCATAAAATGAGCTTTCACCAGCTTCTTAGGGACAAAGCCTGTGAGTCTGTTCCCCTTCTCTGTTCTTGGTGGAGAAGCACATCTGACCCATGGTGAACTCTGCTGGTGATGTGGCCAAGACAGTAACCCCAGCTCGTGCCCAGTGGGAGTGGAGCAGGAGCCTCAAGGGAAGGGAAGTCCAGGGCATGGCAAGCAGGCAGGGTCTGTGTGCCCGCGGACAGGCCAGCTGGAGGTGACCCTGGGATAGAGGGCATTCAGATCTCGAGGAGAACCTGACCGGCCGTGCAGCCTTGCCTAGTCTCTCAACGTCCCCGGTGCTGGTTTTCTCCTCTGTACCGGGGGATAAGGTCCAGCTCCCAGGAATACGGTGAAATAAGATAATACATAGTTAATTCTGTATGTTGGCAAATTGAACACCAATAAAAAATAAATTTATTATTTAAAAATCAAGATAATACATAGTAACAACATGAATTTATATGAATATGAGTAATAAGAGGAAATTGCCAAATTGATTTAGATAGGACTTGTGGGCCATGTAGATGTGTCGCTTTATAGGTTTTGATCCCTTTTTCAGATGTCCCTCTTTGCCTTCCCTTATTAAGCTGGTTTTTAGCAGCTCTCTCATGTTCTGACTGAGCAGAGATGATGGGGACTGTGAGCCACAAGCCGGGGAGTGTGACGAAGGGCTGTCCAGGCCCCGGGCAGATGTGGGGAACGTTCCTCTTAGCTGGGCCCCTGGGTAGGAAGCAGGAACGGCTGATGAGGTGAACGTGCTGGAGCCAAAGATGGAGCAAGAGCCAGCTTGGATGGCATCCTCCTGCTCCCACCCCCTCCACCTGCACTTCCCGCCTGCTTCCCTTCCTTTGGGTGCCTCTCGGCATCGCACAGGCAGGGGGGTGAAATTCCATTTTCCAGAACCCCATATCCCCAGGGTTCCAGATGCCAATTAGGATGACCTCCTTAGAAACAGGTGTGTGGAGCAGCCTGGGTGGCTCGGCGGTTTAGCACTGCCTCCGGCCCAGGGCGTGATCCTGGAGTCCCAGGATCGAGTCCCACGTCGGGCTCCTTGCATGGAGCCTGCTTCTCCCTCTGCCTGTGTCTCTGTCTCTCATGAATAAATAAATAAAATCTTAAAAAAAAAAAAGGAAAGAAACAGGTGTGTCAGATGGTGAGCATGGACATCGGGCAGAGCTCAGGTCCCTGTCCTTCCATTGTGGACAAGCCCGGGAGTGGGGCCTGGGTGTTTCTTTGCACCAGCGTCTGGGCCCTTCCGCAGCTGCGCGGGCTGAGCAGCAGCTTCGGGGCTGTGTTCTCACACTGAACCCCTCCTGCCCCGCTGGACCTCCTGGCCATTGTGTGAAGCACCTGGATCCCCAAATCAAATCACTTGGCATTTGCTTGGAATACCTGGAAGCACTTCTGATCCTGCTCAGAATCGTGACTGGGGTGAATGGTCTGGGGCCTTTGCTGCTCGGGGCACCAGTGATGACACAGGCCTCTGACAGCACAGCTGCATTTTTGAAAATGACACTCAGGAGCGACGATGGGGCGGGGGGGGGGGGCAATGATCTGGAAGGAGCTCAAGTCCCCCGGTGACCATGAGAGCAGAGGTGCCCTGCTGAGCTAACCCTCTCACCGCAGGAGGAGAGAAACACTCACTGTTTCTGCTCACAAGGCCATTGCACCTCCGGGTAATGACGAGACAGTGGCACCAAGTCGCTGTCAGGTGTAACATCTTAGCTCAGGTGAGTCCACGTGATTGCTCTCCTTCAGAACACCTGGCTCAAGGTAGGAGTCTAATGGAGAAGATGCTAGAAAGCTACGGTTGGAGCTGACTGATGGGAGCAAGTATGAAGGAGTAACTTCTGGGGCCTCACACTGGGTTCCTGCTACACACCGGCTTGTCCACTCAAGGGTTTAGAATAAAATAGAAAATGTCAATAGTGTCCTTTCTGATGCTCAGGGAAATTTAAATAAACGGGTAAGTGAGCCCCATTTTAAGCTCTATTTCCACACATTTGGCTCTTTTGCCTTCTGTTTGCCAGCAGACAACACCATATAAACTTAGGGCAAGCAAAATTATTTTCCTTCTTAAATATGTGTATACATACGTGACCCCTGCTTATTGTGAAAAACGTAAGACACAGAGAAGGTAAGAGGCGCAGATCTTACCTCATCCCCAGGCCCCCTGCCCAAGCAACCCCAGTAACGCATTTGGTGCACCCTCTCCCCTTCCCTTGCCCCTCCCTTGCAGGCAGTGCCACGGCGGAGCGGAGCACAGGTGAGGCCGACGAGGTGGCCGGTGAGGCTAGGAAACTGGGTCTCTCTGGGAGTTAAGTGAATAACTAAGTAAATACGTTGAGGAAAACAGAAGTCAGGTTTCTCGCTGTTGGAGACGGGAGTTGGAAATTAAGGAGCAACAAGAGACGAGAGAAATTTGAGCTATTGGATTGGAATTGGAGGTTTTAGTGTGAACTCATGCTTTTTAAATCTCCATTTATGCAGAAATATATATATGGCTGTACGTGTGCGTGCTCGTGTGTGTCCATACGGATGTTTCCTACCCGCTAAAAGGGCTTAGAAGGATCATATCCCAAAAGGGATGAACAGTCAAGCATCCAAATCTTTGTTTCTAAATTCCATCTTCTACTAAAAGAATTGACTGATTCCACGGCTGGGCTGGGAAAATTCAAGATGAGCCTGGAACATGTTGTTCCTTTTTGGCACAACTGAGAAAGCGCACCAAGAGCGACGGGGTCACATCAGGAACGGAGAAGCCAGCATGAAAGGACTCCTACGGGCCAAATCTGGGAACATTTGAGCATTGAAATAGTGATATGAATAAATTACATCTTATTAAATAAAATAGAAAGTCACGAGCTCATAGTGACATAAACACAAAATGAATAAATAAATGGAGGAGAAGGAAAAGCTCTTCCCCATGACAGGATGTGACCATTTGGCCACAAAACGCCGGTCGAGACAGGAGTCGGCAAAGGATGCTAAAGATACTGGTTTCCTCACAAGACATTCATCGATCAAAGGGAAAAATGAGTCCATTTATGGTGAAGGAACCGGGCAGCCACCACCGCGACGGGGTCAAGGTTAACTCCCCAGTGTTGGGACGGGGATGGGCAGCCTCACACCGGTCCCCCAGGAGGTGCTGAGACAGGCCCGGCCCCAAGGGATTGCCCAGGGGGGCAGGAGGGAACAGTGGGCAGCCCCCAGGGGCAGGGTGGCCTTAGAATGAAACACGTCAAGGCCTTGAAACCGTCAAGGCCATGAAGACAGGACAGGACTTAGGACATGTTTAGAAAAAGAGCCATGAAAATGCGAATATTCATAAAGAGAAAAAGGTCAACGGGGTAAAGGGGAAGACAGTTAACAGGCAGGGGGTGTAGGTGAAGGGGCTACGGGACCTCTTTGCTACTGTTCTTGCAACTTTGTTTCAAAATGAACTTTAAAAGTTTTCTGTGTAGCCATCGAATCTGTCTGGTCCGTGTACACGCGCACGTGCGTGTATTTGCCTACAGGTGTCTCCCTGTAGCCAGGGGCGCAGCCCGCAACCTGCATTGACCGACGGAATTTGGGGGATTGGTTCTACCAGGCGGGCGGGTGAATCCAGGGTGCGGCCCAATGTGAGAGCAGGTGACGTCCGCAAGCCCGTTCACCAACGTCACCTGCGGGGCTGCCCCCCGCCACGGCCCCCAGGGCCTGGCTTCTGCAGGGCGGTCCAGAAGGGGCTAAGGGGGGGGGGGCGCAGGTGGTCCAGGCCCCGCCCCCCGCGTGCCCAGGTGCCGAGGCCAGGCCCCGCCCCACTGCCCCGCCCTGTGTGGAGCTTGTGCCGTCCTCAGGCCCCACACCCAGCCCCTCCCCCTCCCCACGTGGCGCAGGTGCTGCCCCCAGGCCCCTCCTCCCCCTGCCCCGCCCCGCGTGCCGAGGTGCCACTGCCAGGCCCCTCCCTCCCTCCCCACGTGCAACAGGTGCCGTCGTCAGGCCCCGCCCTCCCTCCCCACGTGGCGCAGGTGCCGCCGCCAGGCCCCGCCCCCGCCATGGAGCCCGAGCCCGCCATCCTGGGCGTCGCGCCCGCTGAGGTGCTGGAGGACGTGCTGCGGGAGCAGTTCGGGCCGCTGCCCCAGCTGGCTGCCATCTGCCGGCTCAAGCGGCTGCCGTCGGGCGGCTACTCGTCCACCGAGGACCTGCAGCTGGTGCTCGAGCGGCGGCGCGTGGCCAACGCCAAGGAGCGCGAGCGGGTGAGCGTCCTGACCCGGCCCCGGCCGCGACCTCGCAGGCCCGCGGGGACACGCAGCGCCCGCCCCCTGCGCCGCTCCCGGGCCCTGGGACGGGCTCCGCGGCGGCCACCCGCGCCCCCTGCGCCTCCCGCGCCCCCTGCGCCTCCCGCGCCCCCTGCGCCTCCGCCCCCTGCGCCACCCGCCCACCTGCGCCCCCTGCGCCACCCGCCCCCTGCCCACCGCGCCCCTGCGCCTCCCGCGCCCCCTGCGCCCCACCCGCGCCACTGCGCCTCCGCGCACCTGCCCCACCTACGCCACCCGCCCCACCCGCGCCATCTGCCCCCCCGCGCCCCCCGCCCCACCTCACCGTGCCACCCGCCCCACCTATGCCACCCGCGCCACCTGCCCCACGCGCGCCACCTGCCCCACCGGCGCCACCTGCGCCTCCCGCGCCACCTGCCCCACCTGCGCCCCCCCCCCCGCCCCCTGCCCCACCTGCGCCTCCCGCGCCACCTGCGACCACGTCCACGACGTCTCCCTTCCGAGTGGTGCCTCGACCTCCCTCCCGGCCGCTCCGCAGGCTGAAGTGCTGGGGCCCACGGGGCTCTGGTGCCTTCCCTCCCCTCGGCGGCTCTGCCTGGACGCAGGGGTGGGGCGCGGGGTCCCCTCCGCACCTGTGTCTGGACGCAGGGGTGGGGCGAGGCGGCCTAGATGAAGCTCTTTTCTCTTGTCTGGAGGAAGGAAACACGGCGCCCCTGAGCCCGGCTCCCGCTCCGGCCCATGTCCCGTGTCCCAGGGGCGGCGACAAGGCCCCAAGGTCCTGAGGCCGGAGCTCCCAGGGCATGTACTGGTGGTTTCAGTACTTCCCAGGGCAGCCGGGCCCCCAGGTCCACCCCCGCCAGGTCCACCCCCGCCGGCCTGGGCGCAGGGTCCCTGGGGCGGGAGGTGGGAGGGGCCGAGCTAATGACCTTCATTCTTCTTGACAAGGATAGAATTAAAACACCCGAAAAACGGAGAAGCGACGGGGAACAGAGGGAACAGAGCACAGACCTAACGACCCTGAACTAAGTCTTGCGTAGAACCTCGCAGCCTCTTTTCCTAGTTCTGTGTGTGTGTGTTATATTTATATAATGAAATTGTGAGGGGGGTACATAGTTTTCTAGGTTTTTTACTTAACAGTATCGAAAGCATTTCCTCATTTTTTAAAAGATGGACATATAGTATATTATTAGTTTCAGAGGTAAAGATGAGCGATTCATCAGTCTTACATAATTGCTCATTACAGGGCCCGTCACACCACCTGCCCTCCTTAATGCCCGTCCCCCGGTGACCCCGTCCCCCTGCCCCCACCCCCAGTGACCCTCAGTTTGTTTCCTGTGATTAAGAGTCTCTTATGGTTCATCTCCTTCTCTGATGTTGTCATTTTATTCCCCCCTCCTCTGTTTTGTTTCTTAAATTCCACATATTAGCGACATCATATAATTGCCTTTCCCTGACCTGTTTAAGTTAACATGATCCCCTCTAGTTCCATCCGTGTCATTGAAAATGGCAAGATTTCACTCTTTTTGATGACCGAGTAATGTTCCATTATATGTATGTCACCTCTTCTTTATCCATTGGTCTGTTGATGGCCATGTGGGCCCTTTCCATAGTCTGGCTCTTGTGGACGTTGCTGCCGTGAACATTGGGGTGTAGGTGCCCCTTTGGGTCACTGCATCTGTATCTTTGGGGCAAATCCCCAGCAGTACCATTGCTGGGTCATAGGGCAGCTCTGTGTTCAACTCTTCGAGGCCCCTCCACACTGTTGTCCAGAGTGGCTGCACCAGCTCGCGTTCCCGCCCACAGGGTAAGAGGTTCCCCTTCTCCACATCCTCCCCAACATCTGTCGTTTCCTGACTTGTTCATTTGCGCTGTTCTCACTGCTGTGAGGTGGGATCTCATTGTGGTTTTGATTTGGGATTTCCTCATTCTAAGAACGGCTTTTTACTGCATAGTCTGTTATATAAATGGACCAAAAATATCCAGTCTTTGTGCTTTTTGCAGCTTTTTACTGGTCTTTATGTGCATGTCTGATAATTGATCTCAAATAGAATGCTAGAGATGGAATTACGGGGACAGAGGATGTGCGCAACCTCACAACGTTTGATACCAGTTGCCCAACTGCTTTCTAGAGAAGTTTACTAATTTTCATCCCTTCTTACTGCATATAGAACTCTTTCCTTTGTCCGGCTCCAGTGCTAGGTATAATTAAGCAATATTGCCAGCTTGGCGCATGAAAACTGATATCTAATTTCTATTTTGTAGTTCTTTTGTCAAAGTTCCACATTTTCATATATTTATTGGTCTTTTGTCCTGCTGTAATGGGAGGACTGTGTCCATTGTTCACTTTGATCTGGAGTAGGAGGGGGCTCTCACTCAATTGAATATGTTGGCTTACGGTGAAAGGAAGAGGAGGGGGTTCAGCAAGCACACAGACCCCCCCCCCGCTTCCAGCCCGTGCACCCACACAGGCTGAGCTCATGCCACCCCTTCCCGGTCGCCAGGAACTGTGCTGCTGGTGCAGCAGCGGCCCAGGCCCACACCCGCTTAGGTTCACCCCCCAGACAAGCCCTCACAACCTTCTTCTGGGGTTTGGGGGGAGATATTGTATCAATTAGCTTCTCTGCCTGTCACTGTGCTTTTTTGTTTTCCAGATAAAAAATCTCAACCGTGGTTTTGCCAAACTGAAGGCACTTGTGCCCTTTCTCCCCCAAAGCAGGAAGCCTAGCAAAGTTGACATCCTTAAAGGTGCAACCGAATACATACAAGTTCTCAGTGATGTCTTGGAAGGAGCCAAAGTCTCTGAGGTAATCGCCAGGCAATTTCTGTGTTCTAGCTGTTTGTTACAATCCTGTGGGTTGTTTATGATCCGTGTCTTAGGGAAGAGGAAACCAAGATACAGGTAAAGGCCACACAGCTAAGAAATGTCAGGACTGGGCTTTGAACCCAGATCTGTGTGAGCTTTGGCACAGAGTTCCTGATTATCTATCTCTCTACTTCTTCTTTTTTTAATATTTTATTTATTTATTCATGAGAGAGAGGAGAGAGAGAGAGAGAGAGAGAGAGCGCATGCGCAGAGACACAGGCAGAGGGAGAAGCAGGCTCCATGCAGGGAGCCCAATGCGGGACTCGATCCCGGGTCTCCGGGATCACGCCCCGGGCCAAAGGCAGGCACTAAACCGCTGAGCCCACCCGGGCTGCCCATCTCTCTACTTCTTGTCACCGTCCAGGGCACCTAGCTTCTTGATAGCTAGGGAGTGAGAGGAGGCTTCTGGAAGCCCACCCTGCGGTGTGGTTTTCCACTGGACAGGACTCAGGAAGGAAGAGGCAAAAAAAAAAAAAAAAAAAAAAAAGAAGGAAGAGGCATTTTCCTTGGAGAGCCCCCCTGCCCCGGATAGACCACACTGGTGGAATGCTCAGCAATGGTTGTGATGCCTGTCTCATGGGGTTTGCAATGATTCGATACAAACCATTGGATGAAATCACTGAACTTAATAGAAAATATATTAGGTGTCCAAATGAATTGGCAAACTGTGAGCACATAGTTGTCACCACCGTTATCCGGGTGCACAGCTGAGAAGTGTCCCTTGGGCAGTAGAAGCTGTGGGCTGGTTATATGGGCTTGCTGCATGGTCAGGCAGGCCGTGAAGACTTGCAAGTGGGTTGGTCACCAGAGGAGGTAAGATAGGAAGAGAGAAAGGCCTTAGAAATACGCCCTAAGTGGCACCATTGGCCTGAGGGGAGAAGGAACCATGAGAGAAGGAAAGGTGGAGAAGCAAGATGGGACCTAAAGGCGGGCGGGGGAGACTCTTGGGAATCTGAGGGTGGGAAGCAGTGCAGGAAGCTATAGAAAGGCCCAGCATGTGAGATGTGGGCTAGAAGCCACTTACAGGAGGTTGCGTGTGTGTGGTGTCTGAAGTCCAGGCAGAGCGTGATGGCAAAGTCCATCAAACTTGGAAATCTGAGGTCGGAAAGAAGGAGCAAAAGGATGAAAGAAGAAAAGTGGTTAGATCAGTGAAAGTCTTTCCTAAGTAGCAGAGTGACTGTGTTTAGGGACAGAAGAGGACAGGCCCTGGAGAGTAGAGGAACCCAATCGTTTTTAGAGACTTAGGGCAGGAATCTCCAGGTATCTGATGGTACTTAATTTTTCCCCCTTGTGCCCTCGTCCTACGTGGGTGACTCCTGAGGGGAAGCAGTCTGCAGTCAGGAACGGATTGTCCTGTTAGCTAATTGGATGCTTGGCTCGTGGCGTGACCACGGGGTTTGCACACACACAGGCGGCTGCCTTGGCCTTTCCTTGCACGCGTAGCAGACGTGCTCTGTTTGTGCTACATTCATTGTAAGACACGGGATAGGCTCCAGGGGATAATAGTTTTAATGCAGCTGCCAAGTGCACAACACGTTAAGGTCCTAGACGAATGGATACAGCCCATTGAGCAATGATTTTCTCTCCACAGTTAAGATTGCCTTTGTCGCTTAAGCCACATTGATTAAAATTCTTGGAATATATTAAGTCTTCGAAGTCTGATTGTCGTATTGCACTGTTTGACTGCTAAACATGGTTTCTAGAGACAGAATCCAGGTCACCAGAACTATAGCAACCGCCCTCCCGAACCACCCGTAGCGCTGGCTGGAGATGTGCCGAGGAACCTGGGGCAGCACGCCGGCCGCCCTGTGGGCTTGAAGAGCGAGGAGGAGAGGCCCTGGGCGGACGGCGGCAGCGGTGAGTCTCGCGCTTGTCCCCGAGCCTGGTGTCTGCGACCGCAGTTCTCTCCCCAGCCGGGAGTCCGGTGAAGTGTTTCTTCCTAAGTAGCCGCATAGGTGTCAAGACCTCAAAGCACTTTCCCTGAGGTGTGTGCAATTTTCCATGCTAAAAGGGACCGGAAATAAGACTGTTTTGTGGAAGTGCCTCGGTGGGAAAGTGAAGGCTGGTCGTTTGGAAAAAAAATCTATTAAGTCTCAGCAACTCAAGGAGAAGGCAACCCCTCCCCCCCCCAATGACTCAGGACAGACCTGAGTTGGCTTTCTTATGACCCTAATTATTTCTCAAAAGTTTCTGACTCTGAGGTCTCCAGGAAAAGAAGCAGCACGCGCAGATACCAAATACGCGTGTAGGCACAGTTTCCTTTCTTTCGTTTTTTTTTTTTGAGTTGGCTTTGTTGGAAAGTAGCATTTTCTCTTTTTAAAATTTTATTTCATTTAAATTCAGTTAATTAACGTATAGTGTATTATTAGTTTCGGAGGCACAGGTCAGTGATTCCCCAGTTGCAGGTGACACCCGGTGCCCACGACGTCACGTGCCCTCCTTCATGCCCGTCCCCCAGGCACCCCATCGTCCCTCGCCTCCCCTTCAGCGCCCCTCAGTTTGTTTCCTATAGGAAGGCAGCATTTTCTAGGTAAAAACAAGAATTTATCAGAGTAGCTCTTATTTTTTTTTTAAATTTTTATTTATTTATGATAGTCACACACACACAGAGAGGCAGAGACTAGAGAGGAGAAGCAGGCTCCATGCACCGGGAGCCCGATGTGGGATTCGATCCGGGTCTCCAGGATCGCACCCCGGGCCAAAGGCAGGCGCCAAACTGCTGCGCCACCCAGGGATCCCAGAGTAGCTCTTATTACTTTGCCAAAGCGGTGAAGCTGGGAGACAGGGGAGCAGCTGCTTCCCCGAGTCCTTGAGGGGACTCCTCGCCCCGTGAGTGTCTGTGCTACTCTGACGAGCCCCCCTGTCACCCCGCAGCACGACCGCGTGGAACCGGAGCCAGGCCAGCCGTGGCAAGGAAGGCGCCTGGTGCGACCTGAGCGGCCGCGCGAGCCGGGGACTCACGCGTGATGCCCGCCGGTGGGGGCCGTTCAGATAGCAGCTGAGTGTGGGGTTCAAATGCCGGCATCCCCCCTTGCTAGCTGTGGGACAGCCACTGAGCTACCAAATCTCTCTAGTCCCCAGTTTTCCCGTCTGTGGAATGGGAATGGTGATCATACCTACCTTGTACATCAGGCTGTTGTGCGACTCAAGTGGCATCGTGTCACAGAGGTGTCTGGGGCAGTGGCTGGCCCGTCGGTGCTCATGTGCGCGTACACCTGCACAATCGATGGGAGGTCGATCCTAGCTCTGCCTGTAGCAAGTGCTCTGGTTTGTTCCCTTGGCCCCATAGTGCTCTCCTCGGGTGTGGGGTCCTGCAGGCTCCCTGCAGACCGGCTGGCCTTGGCTGCCGCTTCTGACTTGATTACTGTGTCCTGAGGATTGTACTTTTGCACACGCGCCGTTTCAGGTGTTCATACTCCGGTCACCCGACCTCCCTACAACCAAGCCTTCCCTTCCAGTCAACGCTTGGGAAGCAGAATTCCTTTTGCTACCACAGGAGCTCACAGAGAATGGCCGAGAGCAAAAGTCAGGGTGAAGCTATGACCTAAGCTCAACCTCGAACCTGGCTCTCTGTTAGAGACGTCTTCATGGGTTCCGGGTGTTACGGCAAGACCCCTCCTTGCGGGTAGTCCTCACCGATCCTTGGCGGGGAGATCTCCGCACGTCATCCTTGTGCCGAGCCGCCTGGCTGCACGGGCGTGAACTGGGCTGGGCGACGCCGGCAGCAAAGATCTATAGGGCGGCCTCGTCTTCCAAGGGTTATTGATCCTGGAAATAGGCCATTGCTAGTAAGTAGATTGAAAGTGGAGACTAACACTTTCTAGTAAGATGCAGAAAAGTCCTAACTGGAACTTTCTTTGAAAAGGGGAGAAACACACTTAAATTTTTTGTCCTTTCTAGCGTCAGGTGCAGCTGGAAGCATGAGTTCATTTAGCTGTCACACCTCTAGCCGCCATCCGTCCGGAACACTCCACTGGTCCTTCCATGGCTTTTATGACCTTGACGTGTTGGAGGATCATAGCCCAGTTTTGTCAGGTGTTTGATTTGGGTCTGTTTCCTCCTGATTAGATTCAGACATGAATCTTTGGGGGGGATAAGATCACCCCCTACGGGGTGGGGTGCATTCTGATTTGTTCTATTACTAAGGACATTCGCTTCAGCCGTTCGCTTCCCGTGGTGAAGCCATCTCTACGTCCCGTTCTGCATCCAACATTCTGTATTTGTGAAACTTTCGATTTTGAAATAATTATGGATTCACAGGAAGTTACAAAGGTAATCCAGAGAAGTCCCGTGTACCCTTTAGGGTCTGGACTTTTACGTAGGGCAGTGCCCTTAAATCATCCCAGGGGTTGTATTGAAAGTCCAGGCCCCCTTCTCTCCACTGAGTGTTAGTCCACGGGACGGATGTGTCACAGTTTTTATCATCATGATATCACAGCGTTTCATGACTTATTTTGTTACTCAAGTTGTCCTCATTGTGGCCAGTGAAAGCCCCTCAGATGGGCCACCTTTCTGCTTGACCTGTCACTCTCCTTCTTCGACCACTTCCTTTCGGGCAGAAGATGCTCTGAGCTTGAGCGTCATGCACTTTCCCATCCCCGGGCCTGAAATGGCTCTTTCATCAGGGACACCCCACGTGTGACTCACCTCTCCTCTCTCTCCGCCGTCTCCCCCGCGCGGTGGCTCGTCTCTTCACCCCTTTTGGGCTTTAGCACCCCGATGAGTCTGTGAGGGCTCCCATAACAAAATACACGGATTTTGGTTTAAGCGACAGAAATTTATTTCTCGCAGTTCTAGGGGTTGGAGGTCCAAGATCAAGACGGTGGCAAATTTGGTTGCTTCTCTCCTTGGCTTGCAAATAGTCTCTCCTCTGCATATGTGTGCCTCAATTTTCTCTTATAAGGACACTAATCATCATGGATTGGTGCCCACCCTTCATTACATTTTATTTTATTTAAGATTTTATTTATTCATGAGAATACACAGAGAGGAGACGGAGAGAGAGAGGCAGAGACACAGGCAGAGGGAGAAGCAGGCTCCATGCAGGGAGCCCGACATGGGACTCGATCCCGGGTCTCCAGGATCACGCCCTGGGCTGAAGGCAGGCGCTAAACCGCTGAGCCACCCGGGCTGCCCCATTTTATTTTTTTAATTTAAATTTTAGTTAACATTCAGAGCGGTGTTGGTCTTAGGAGTAGATTCAGTGATTCATCATTTACGTTCAACACCCCGTGCTCATCACAAGTGGCCTCGTTAGTGACCATCACCCATCCCGCCCACCCGCCCCACCTCCCTCACCCTTCATTTTAACTCAGTCGCCCCTTTTAAGGCTCTGTCTCCAAATACAGTTGCATTCTGAGGTGTGGGGGGTCGGGCTTCAGCATGTGAATTGTGAGGGGACATAATTCAGCCCGTGACAGCACCCGTGACAAGCTGCCCCTCCGTAAGGACCCTCTCCCTGGTGCTGACCTTCAACTCAGGCCACCCCTCCCCCACACAGGGACGCCTCCTCACCTGCTTGGACTCTGGCTCACCACGTGAGGTCACCTAACGCACACAGGCCTGCTGGGTTTGGCATGGGTGTCTTCTCCCCGTGCCCCTTACCCTTCTTACCCGGCTTGGGTCTGACCCTCCATGCCAGCTGCCCTTCAAGGCCCCTCTCCTGCTGATTGGACTTCACCTCTTTGCACTGCCCCCCCCCCCCCCCCCCGCGCGGGCACGTCCCGTACCTGCTTGGTCTCTGACACCCTGGACTCGGCCATCTCCGTGTATGGAGGCCATCCTCACTCTGCTTAGCCTCCAGCACTTAGGGCCACCATGGGTCCCGCTGCCTCACTGTGAGCTAAGCAGGTGGCTTGAGCAGGTATCCAAAATCATAGTTAAGAATTTTATAAAGGCCTGCACTTTACTATCAAGAACCAGGATGGAGTGAGGGGGTCCAGAGAAACTAAGCTCAGCCTGGCCTTTGTTTGCCAAACAATTCTCATAAGGGTATGCAGCTTACCTGAAGAGGTGACTCTACAGGGCTTCGGGGTCCTGGCCACACACCCTAACTGGGAACCTGGAGATAGCTGATGGGACTCATTGGACTGAAATGCTTAGGTACAGAGGGGCTTAGAGTCTGGGAGGCAGGCCACCTCCAGCTTCCGTTTGCAGGCATGGCACCCTTCCTCCTGCCCTTGGAGAGGATCCTGAGGAGTGGAATCCTGGTGCTGGCAGAGACGGGAATTTTTGGGGATTTGAGGATGGGGTCAGAGCAGGCTGTGCAAGATCAACAACATTCCTGAGAGGCAAAAATCCCAAATGAAGTACATAAGAATCTGCTGATGGCAGGCATGGAGATTAACTTCTTGGGCCAGAGCAGCTTCACTTGGGGACTGAATCAGCAAGCGTGTCTGCAAATGGAGAGGGCCACAAGCTGCATGAAGCCGCTGCACTTGCCGTGGCAGGAATGGGGGTCAGTGTCAAGGTCCTGGTGAGGCTCGTTTAGAATTGGACTTTTGGGACACCTGGGAGGCTCAGCGGTTGAGCATCTGCCGTCAGCTCAGGCTGTGACCCCGGGGTCCTGGGATCGAGTCCTGCATTGGGCTCTCTGCATGGAGCCTGCTTCTCCCTCTGCCTGTGTCTCTGCCTCTCTCTGTGTCTCTCTCATGAATAAAAAAAAAAAAAAGATTTGGGCTTTCAAGGTATAGGATTTTGCTGTTTTGGCATCGGTCAGGGTGGCAGGATGTTCACCGACCCCCCATTGCTTATTTTGACACCTGTGTTGGTGGCTTGGGCATTTCATATCCTGCGAGGCTCTGACTTACATTCAGAGTCGCTTGAGTTCCTACAGAGGCCGTTTCCCTGGACAAAGCCCGTCCTCGTGTTGGGGTGAGACGCCAACTCTGCTGGGGTCAGAGGGCTCTGGAAGGGAGTATGTGGATGAACGTGAGCACCTGTTAGGGCCCGGATGTGCTGGCCTGTCGTGGGAGCGCGCCTTGGAAGGGCTGGTGAGGGACGGAAGCCTCTGCGGGAGGTGATCTGTGTGTGACGCTAATCCCCGGGGACATTGCCTCTACTAGCACTTTAAGCTCTGAAACGCGGTGGTCTAGCCAGCTGGGATGTTCATCAGCCCCCTGGGAAGGTGCTGAGCACCTGTGCCCTGCCTCCCATCTCCCACTTCCCCCGGGCGCTGGTGTGTGATAGGAAACCTCCTTCGGAGCGGGGTGGTTCAGGCTTCTCCCTGGGAACCATAGGTCGCTGGTAGCCTACCGGGCGTGTTCTGATGAGTTCACCCAGCAGAGTATTTTCAAAACTTGAAGTTTCTTTCGATGGAGTGGGTGCTGTCTGGTTCCTCAGCCCCTCCCCCCTTTGCTGCAGTACTGGTTTCGGCATTAAACTCTGCAAGCCTGGACCAAGGGTACCAGGACCCGGTGCAGGCCACTCTAGTGGTTGCATTGGCTCAGGGTGTTGCTGTGTCTTCTCAAGTCTGGGGGTTCAGGGATTGGTGCTGCGATGGTACGGATGTCGGCTGTTCTCCCTGGAACTTCGGAAAGGTGAGGTCTAGAGCAGACGGGACAGGATCCATCCAACCTGGGAGTGACGGCACCTCTATCGGAGGGTGCCTCGGGCTGCAGCTGCTCAGGAAGAGATGCGAGCGGCATTCAAGGAAGGCCCTTGAGGCTCAGTCTGAGCGGGATGAGGAGAAAATGTTAGAGGAGAGATGAATTTCTTCATGAAAATAAGAGAGGGAGATTTCCTTTGTTGTGACTCTCGGTCTTCCGTCCCCGCAGAATAACTAATCACAAAAGCGGGTTTGGTGAACGTGTGTGAAGTTGGGTGCGTTTAATAAGATCTCTACCTACCATGTGCTCTGACTCTGTCCGTGAGCCGAGCACAACTCAACAAGCCAATAACTTCTATTTCCCTGACATATGATGGGCCGGGTGGTTAAGTTAATGAAGTAAGCCCTCATCTATTCTAGTGGACTTCTGGAGGGAATATTTATAGGAGTTTTATAAAAGGCCTGTCTTGTTGGTTCCACATGGATACAGAGGAAAATCCCCCCTCAAAGGTCGAGGCAGGACTCCTCTGACGTGCTACCGACGTCCCTTATAGACGTCTCATTGGGTTCGTAGAAAGCCATCGAGTACTAGAACCACAGAAGCTAGCCCCTGAGGGGGGTCAGTGTGTCCTCCCACCCTCTACCTTCTCGGCCTGTTCTAATCTGTGGGTTATCCGGAATGGATTAGCAATAAGATGGACTCTAACGACGTAGTGTTAACGGTAGATCTTCTGGTGGGAGGGTAGGGGCTATAAGTACAACTTGATTGTTTTGGGGGATTCTTCCAGTCCTCTTTGGGTCACTCCCTTTTTGGAAGATGTTTGTCCCCAAGAATGTATCCTTCTGCAACACCAGTGAGGAAGATGGGCCTGGGGCACCTGCCTCGTTGGGGTGCTCTGAGGTGAGGAGAACATAGGAATAGAGTTTTCCTGCATCATACAATTTGGAACAGGCCCCCAAGGGAAAAGACAGGCCATAAGGGTAAAGACTTGGTGGCCAAAGCCCTGCTCGTTATAAAGGAGCTCATTTGCTGGAAGACCATCCATGCGGCCCTCCTCGGAGATGTGCGACGGCAAGGCTAAGGTCGCAGTGCTGGGTTCTGATCTCTGGGTCCTCGCTGGGCTTTCACACACCAAAGCAGGATTGACGAATAATGAGCACAGTTTAGAGGGAAAGGAATGTAACTTTCTACACTGGCTTCTACTTGTTTTTCGAGAACCCAGTAAGACCCATGGTTCAGGTGGTGGGAAGACTGGCTTACCCCATTAAGGGTAAATACTGTATCTGCTCAATGCTCAGATTCCCTATGGGGCTCTTTGCCTCGTACGCCATCTCCCCTAGGAGAACTCTTGTCCTCCTCTAGGTGCAGCCAGGGTTGTCCGTACTACGGGGCTGGAGCGGGAGTGCTCATGTGCGCTTCCCCAGCTATTCCTGGGCCCCATCCTGTTGAGCTGACATCTGCTTGGATGTCCATGGCCCCACTGTGGCTTCTCTTCTCCAGGCCAGGCTTTCTGGGCCTTCTCCCTTCAGAACGCAGGCAGGCATCTTCTGGTCCCCTTGACTTTCCCGCTTCCAGACGGGCCATGCCGCTGCCCTCAGGCACCTACTTGATGATGTCCCTCAGCCACGTGGTCATAAACTCCCAAGAAGTGGGTACAAATCCTTGCTCTCCTTAGATCCTTCTTTACCTTTCTTGGGTTCTGTTCCCTCATGTAACTCCTCCCCATCCCCGGGTCGAGGCCCAGGATGACGTGGTACAGGGCTCCTCCCAGGGATGCGGCAGCTTCTACAAACTAGCTCTGTCCCCTCTGAATAACTACTTCCTGCTGTTTCAACCGTCATCTCCATTTTGGTTGTAGGAAGTCTTCCCCATCACACGCTTGCCTCCTCCCTGCTTGGTGACCACCTGAGCTGCCAGGTGAGCGCCGGCCCACCAGAACGCACATGCTTATTCTCCCTTCCAACAAAGTCAGCCTCTTTCAAATGAGAGCCTTGCTTTTTCAGACTATTGTTGCTGAGAACTGAAATCTGAAGCTGAGCGAGGGCTTCTGGGTGGTATCTAGCTACGTCTTTCCTTGCCCCCTCCCCAAGCCTTGGCTCAGCGGGGGGAGGGAAAGGCATATTGAACGATATGACAAACCATACAGTTATACAGCCAACAAGTCACATACCCACCTAATTAGGGGGACTGAGCAGCAAGCTAGTCTGTTTCCGAGACCACCCTCTTCCTAGACCCTCAACTATTCAAATGAGGCCAACACGCATTTCAAAAAAAAAATGAACTATAGCAACATCAATAATCTTCAGCAAGTTTCCATATTCTGATACTTAAATACTTACATTCCTGGAATTTTCTAGCTAATGCTTAAAACCAAACTAAGGTGATGATCTTAGTTGGGTGATGGTACAACTCTAGGCTACAGGGTTAAATTATCCTTTAACTCTTTGGGTAAACCCAGTTATACTGGAGTTTGCCTTTTAGGTTTTAGCACACCCTGGATATGTGACAATTTTTTAAAGATCTAAATGAGACTTTTAAACCTAAATTTGAACTATTAATGTTCACTTAATCACATGTATAGTGGAAAGACTTGATCAAGATCAGAAGTTATTGGTACTTATTTTGTGCTGGGCGCCATTCCTGGTGGTGTTATATGTATTATTTAATTTTCATGACCACCCTGTGCTGTATAATTATATCCACTTTACATATCAGGAAACTAGAGAACAGAAGTTAAAGAACTTGCCCAATATCCAGATAGGTCAGTGAAGGATGGAATCAGGGCATGTGACTATAGTACCTCATTATCCACAGTGATTGACTGCAGTGACTTTATTTTTCATCGTGAGTTTTTTTCTTCAAGTTGAGATTTCAGAATATTAAGACCCAAAATGATCTTACCATCTTAGTGAAACTACTGATGAAAATATACTAAAGTGCTTCAGAAATTCTTATACAACAGAATCAAGAAACTATCACAGCGTATACAACACCGTGTTTCTGTTTCTTCTTATTCTATCACTGACACATTTAGAGGCTACTACAAGTTTTAATGGTCCATTAAATGGAATGGTTTTCTAATTTTGGACATTTAAGTTGTTTTCAGGCTTTCGTTGTCATAAATATGGCAAACAGCCTGATGTGTTTATGTCTTTCTGTCTTTTAGGGTAGGTTCCTAGAAGTGGAAGTCCTGAGTCACAGGTCGGTACAATCTATGGCTTGACGCATGGGGTCACTTTATAACCTGTCCAGCTCTGAGTGCCGATTTCACCATATCCTTGCTAACAGTGGGATGTATTAAAATAATGAAATTTCAAAAGGTTAAAAAAATGCTATCTTTCAACTTATAAAGCTTTGATGACTAATGAAACATTTTTTATATAGATCTTTTGGGAATGGTCTGTTCTTGGCGTTTAGCCATTTAAAAGGGACTTTCTTCTCTGTTACAGGCTCCCCCAAGTATGAAAAATGAACAGGCCCCACCCAGGGCGATCTTCTGGAGACAAATAAACACACTCTTGAAAGTTTTGGAGTCTCTTTAAAAATTGTGATATTTCAAAGTTTAACAATTACTCTTTAAATGGCCTTACTTTTCACACATCTACTCAACTCCTTTTCCTTAAATTCATGCTTTGAAGAAGTAGGCTTTCAGGGTCTTCAGCCCTTTTGCTTACCCCTCAACCCCTATGCAGCTCCCATCCTCATCCTTTCAGGACTTCTGTATAATATCCTTCACTCTGTTTCCATCACTTGACGAATAAGTGCCTATTCCCCTTCCTGGGGGAAATTAACCTTTAATAGGAATATAAACTTTTTTTAATGATTTTTTAAAATTTATTCATGAGAGACAGACAGAGAGAGAATGAGAGAGAGAGAGAGAGGCAGAGACGCAAACAGAGGGAGAAGCAGGCTCCATGCAAGGGAGCCTGACATGGGACTCGATCCCGGGACTCCAGGATCACACCCTGGGCCAAAGGCAGGCACCAAACCCCTGCACCACTGGGGCTGCCTGGAATATAAACTTAAGCTAGAAGAGTAAGGAGTGGTAATCATCGGCCACTGGTGGCGACAATTTTCAAGCCTGTCTAGATACCCAGCTCAGGAAAAAGGCACCTTCAGCATGGGGACAGTCTTCATCTTTATAACAACTGCTCACAAAGACGCAGCACTTAGATATGCAGCACTTAGATATGCTGTATCTGTTCCTACGCTTCACACGTTACCTTGTTCTCACAACAATCCTGTGAAATAGGCATCAGGGTCCCTCCCTGCTGCACAGGTGGAGAAACCAAGGCGCAGAGGTTGCGTATCTGCGTGGGCGGCCACAACCTAAATCCTGTACTGGGTGCCTTACACAACAGAAATTTATTTCTCGCGGTTCTGGAGAAGTCCAAGGTCAAGGCCAGAAGGGTTTTGGTTTCTGGCGAGGTTGCTCTTTCAGCTTGCAGGCTTCTCTCCGCGGCCTCGCATGGCAGGGGGCTGTGGGCATGAGGAGAGAACAGGTGGTGTGTGCGTGCGTGAGTGAGCAAACCCTTATCCCCCTTCCTCTTAGAAGGACATGGATCCTGTCAGATTAAGGGCCCCAACCTTATGACCTCATTTAACCCTAACAACCACCTAAAAGCCCTATCTCCAAGTACAGTCACGTTGCGGTTGGGGGTTAGGGCTTCAACCTACGAATTTCGGGGGCAGGGCACAATCCCTGGCCTTTGGCCCCCAACTCCAAAAGTTCATGACCTTAACATATGCAAAATATGCTTCATCTCAACGGCCCGGCCCCCAAAGTCTTAACTTGTTCTAGCGTGAGTTCTAAAGTCTGAAGTTCAAGGTCTCCTCTAATATTCTCTTAAATCACGTATGGAGGAGACCTGAGTATGATTCATCCGGAGGTGAAATGCTCTTCTAGCCATGAGCCTGTGAGACCGGACAGGTTAGGTGCTTCCAAAATACAAGGGCAAGCAGGCGTAGGACAGACCTTCCCATTCCACAGGAGGAAATCAGAAGAAAGGGGCGGTGGGTTGCAAGGAAGCCCCGGACCCAGCGAGGCCAATTCCGTTATATGGTCAGCCTTTGCAGTAATCCTCTTTGGCTCAGTACCCTACCTTCCAGGCCCGCCGCGGTGGGAGCATCACCCCAGGCAGCTCTGCGGTGGCCCTGCCCTCTGAAGCCCAGGACGAAGCCAACTTGACCCCTAGGCCTGTGGTTGGGATGGCAGCCCTGATGATCCCTGAATCATCCTTGGGGTCGTTCTTCCCCTTCCTGGAAGAGCAGGGCACATCTGGACCCGAATAGCTTTGTGGTTTCGTCATGCAGGATCCAAGAAATTCGACAGTCTTCCTTCATCCTGTCCTGCTTTTTCTGCCCCCCTTTGCAGCATAGATGGGCTGAGACTTTTCCCATTCTTCAAACTCTGGTTCCTTTGTGTTTCATGATTCTTCCTTTAATTCCTCGTTCCTCTTGTATTTTACTATTAGTAGTAAGAAGGACCCTCATTGCCCTTTCACTATTTTGCTTAGAAATCTCCTCTGTTCAATATCTAATTTTATCACTTGTAAGTTCTACCTTCTACAAAGCAGTAGGACACAGTTTGGCCAAGTTCTCTGCCACTTTTATAGCCAGGACTGCCTTTCCCTGGAGTCTGGGGCGCTCCACCAGCTGCGGACGCTGCTTCGCCACCCCACCCTGTGTGGCCAGAGTTATGGCTGCTGGTTGTCTCATTCTAATCAGTAATAAGACTGTGAGTACTTACACCTGGTGTCCTGTTTTGTCTGCACAACAACCCTGGGTGGTAGGAGACTATTAGCTTTGTACGGTTGCCATAGCAAAGTAGCATAGAGTGGGTGGCTTGGGCAACAGAAGTTTACCAGAGATCAAGAAATCAGGGTGTCCAGAGGTTTGGTTTTCCTCTCTCCTTGGTCGTTGGCAGTTGACTTCTTCCCGTGTCTTCACGTGATCTTCCCTGTGTGCCAGACTGTCTACGTTTCCTCTTATAAAGATACTTGTCCTAATGGATTAGGGCCTACCCTTATCACCTACTTTTTTTTTAATCTTTTAATTATGTCATTCATTATCTCCATTATCTCTTCGAAGATCCCATATCCAAATAGCCACATTCTGAGGTTCTGGAAGTTAGGACTTCAACATAGCAACTGGCGACAGCAGGTGGGTCAGGGGAGCACAGTTCAGCCCATAGCAGAGGGCCAGGGCTGTTACCCTTACTTTCCAGCTGGGAAGTGAGACCCCAGGGTCAGTTCTTCCTCAGCCCACACAGTCACCAGGACTGAGACTGGAGCCCTAGGACTCACACACTGGCGTGTCTCAGAGGTCAGCCCAAAGGACTTCCTAGGGACACTTGTTAAATACAAAATTCCTGGGCCCACTCAGAGTCTGGCTCTGCAGCAGCACTGGGTGGGGCCTGGTGATTTTATGCGAGTATCTAAAGGCCTCGGTGCCCACAACCTAAGAGGAGCAGCGGGGCCCTGATCCGGGCGTGGGAAGTGACCACAGCTTTCCTGGAAGCCATCCTTGCCCTGCAATCCACGTTGAAAGAGAACAGAAGGCATGTTGATGTGGGGGGGCCGCTGGAGCCTGTGGGGTCACTTCCAGGTACACGGTGCTTTCACGGAGTAGGACGCCGCCGCCCAGAAGGGTTAAGTGACTTGGTCGAGGCCACACAGCTAGTTAGCGGCAGGTCTAAGGCTGCAGTCAGGCGGTCCGGGTCTGCACCCGGCTCCCTGGTCCCTGAGCACCTGCCTCCTGGGATGGGAGGGGAGCGCGGAGGAGGCGAGCCTGGGCCCGACACTTGCTGTCCTTGAAGACGGGGCAGACCGTGTTCACACGGTCAACAATCGCCATTGCAATCCCGAGAGTTAATTTTCTAAAGGCAGATCTTCCCAGACCACAGAGACTTTTTTCCCCCCTTTTTAATCCCAGGGAGGATCTATCCGTTAAGGAAGCTCACGTGTCAGACTTTCTTCCAGTAGCAGGATCCTCCTAGTAGCTCCCGGCCCTTGCCCTTGCGGAACCCACAGAGTGGACGCGGGGGGGGGAGGGGTGCGGGGGTGGACTGCGGGGGCGCTGCGGACCTGGGGGGAGGGGGTCCGGGGCCTGGGGGCGGGGCTTGCGGGCGAGGGGGGCCGCTGAGGACGTGGGGGCGGGGCCTGCGGGGGGCGCTGCGGTCCTGGGGCCAGGGGCCTGGGGACGGGCCTGTGGGCGGGGCCGTTGCGGGCCTGGGGGCGGGGCCTGGGTGGGGCGCTGCGGGCCTGGGGCCGGGCCTGTGGGCGGGGCCTGGGGCGCGGGGGCGGGGCGCGGCGCGGCGCTGCGGGCCTGGGGCTGGGGACTGGGGCTGGGCCCTGTGGGCGGAGCCGCTGCGGGCCTGGGGGCGGGGCCGGGGCGGGGCCTGCGGCGCGGGGGCGAGACGGGGCGCTGCGGGCCTGCGGGCGGGGCCTGCGTGGGGCGCCGCGGTCCGGGGGCCGGGCCCATGGGCGGGGCCGCTGCGGTCCTGGGGGCGGGGCCTGGGCGGGGTCTGCGGCGCGGGGCCTGGGGGCGGGGCTTGCGGGCGAGGGGGGGCGCTGCGGGCCTGGGGGCGTGGTGATGCTGGGCCTCCGCGGGCCTGGGGGAGGGGCCGCTGCGGACCTGGGGGCGGGGGCTGGGGGCGGGGCGGGGCGCTGCGGTCCTGGGGCCAGGGGACTGGGGCCGGGCCTGTGGGCGGGGCCGCTGCGGTCCTGGGGGCGGGGCCTGCGGGGCGGGGCGGGGCGTGCGGTCCTGGGGCCGGGCCTGTGGGCGGGGCCGCTGCGGTCCTGGGGGCGGGGACTGGGGCCGGGCCTGTGGGCGCGGCCGCTGCGGTCCTGGGGGCGGGGCCTGCGGGGCGGGGCGGGGCGTGCGGGCCTGGGGCCGGGCCTGTGGGCGGGGCCGCTGCGGTCCTGGGGGCGGGGCCTGCGGGGGCGTGCGGTCCTGGGGCCGGGGACTGGGGCCGGGCCGGTGGGCGCGGCCGCTGCGGTCCTGGGGGCGGGGCCGGGGCGGGGCCGGCGGGGCGGGGCGGGGCGGGCGCTGCGGCAGCGGGCCGGGGCGGCGGGGCCGTGCCCGCTGGAGGGGGCGCTGTGGGCGCCGCCGAGCGTCCCTTTGTCAGCGCGCCGCCAGGGGAGCTCTGCCTCCCGCCCGCCCGCCCCGTGCGGGAAGTGGATTCGATCGCGACGGCGGGGCGGCGAGGACGGGCGGGAGCGGCCGCCCTTTGTGGGGCTGGCGGAGCGGAGACGCGGCCCCGGCGGCGGGCAGCGCGCGGCTGCGGGATGGAGGGACGCGCGGTCCTGCGCGCCGGCGGGGGCGCCCGTTAGCAGAGCCCGAGGGGAGAGCAGGGACCGGCGAGCGGCCGCGCACAGGTGAGCCCCGCGGGCGCCGCGGCTTCGGGTCGTTTCCCCGGAATCCGAGAGCCGCGCGGCGGGGCAGGTCCGCGCTGGGCCCCGCGCCCGCCGCCCAGGGGCTTCCGCGGATGATGCAACGCGCGGCCTCCGCGGGGCGAGGTGCGGGGCGAGGCGCGGGGCGGGGGGGGGCGGGCGCGGGGGCGGGCGCGCTGGCTCCGGGCGCCACGCCTGACAGGTGCCGCTTCCTCCCCGGGGCTGCGGGGCAGGGGGCAGCGGGGGGCGTCCCCGTCCCGCCCCGCCCCGCCGCGTCCCCCACTCCTCCCTCCTCCCCTCCGCTGCCTGGGGATGGGGGCCCCTGCCCGCCGCCTCCTCCCCTCCCCTCCCTACCTGGCGGGGGGCGCCCTGGCCCTGCCCGCCGTGTCCCCCGTTCCCCTCCCCTGCCTGGAGATGGGCGCCCTGGCCCTGGCCCTGGCCCTGCCCCGGCCCTGCCCCGCCGTGTCCCTCCTTCCCTCCCGTCCCCTGCCTGGAGATGGGCGCCCCGGCCCTGCCCCGCCGCATCCTCCCCTCCCTCCCCTCCGTTGCCTGGCGGGGGGCGCCCTGGCCCTGCCCGCCGTGTCCCCCCTTCCCTTCCCTTCCCTCCCCTTCTCTCCCCTCTCCTGCCTGGGGGTGGGCGGCCCTGCCGTGCCCCATCCTCTCCTCCCCTGTCCTCTCCTGCCCCGCCCTCCCCTCCCCTCCCCTCCCCTGCGTGGGGTGGGCACCCCTGCCCCGCCTTGTTCCCTCCCCTCCCCTGCCCCGCCGTGCCCCCCCCCCGCCTGCGGGATGCTCCGTGTCCCCCTCCTGTCCCCTGTGCAGCAGCTGCGGGGCAGGGGGGCGGCGTGGGCAGGGCCCGCCGCTGCAGCCGGGAGCCGGCACGTGAGCAAGTCCCCAGTGGATTTGGATTTTCCGCCGCCACCACTTTGGAGGGAAAACCGGCCGGTGTCCCTCAGAGGTCCGGCCAGCCGCTGCTGCCTCCGCTTTCACCCTCCTCCCCCTCCCCCTGCCCCTTCCTCCCCCCCCTCCGCGGGGGCGGCCACCCTGCACCCTGCACCCTGCACCCGCAGGTGGGGGCGGGCGGCTGCTTTAGGATGCGGCTCAGGCTCAGGCGCGGCCTGCCCATTGTCTTGCCTTCTCTCCCCCTTCCCTTTCCTCCGTAATCTCCACCCTTTGGCAGAGAGAGGGAGAGAGAAAGACGGAGAGAAAGACAGAAGGGAAGGGGGGGGACCCAGCCCACACCCTATCAGATTCTTTTAAAAATTGTCATTTATCTGTGACACATGATTATTACCCATCTGTTTCCTCACACCCACTCTTGCCTCTCGCAGTTTGTTGTCGAAGGTTCCCCGGACTCAAATGAGCCTTGTAAATAATAGAAACCAGTTCTCGGTTTGGTAAATGGACATTTTGTGCTTTCTAAGCCCAAAGGTGGGGTTGGTCTGACATCCTGGCAGGAGCAGCGATAGGGGAGGGTGGACCCACCTCCTTTCCCATCTATAGCCGAGGGGCATGAGCTGCGTCTTTAACTTGTACAGTGAGGGGTGGCCTCCTTAAAGGGATTTAAAGTTGGGCTTCATTTTATTTATTTTTATTTTTTTTTAAGATTTTATTTATTTATTCATGAGAGATAGAGAGAAGCAGAGACACAGGCAGAGGGAGAAGCAGGCTCTATGCTGGGAGCCTGACATGGGACTCAATCCTGGGACCCCAGGATCACACCCTGGGCCGAAGGCAGGTGCTAAACCGCTGAGCCACCCAGGGATCCCTGGGTTTCATTTTAAAAGAGAATTGGTAAACGTTTGAAATGAAATTGCTGTAAATGAATGAGAGCAGTTAACTGAGGTTCAGACTTGCAAGTCACTCTGGCCGCTGGCATATGGATAGTATACAGTAGAGATTTTACAGAGGGATTTAGACCGTTTAACGTTTTTTGCTTCATGGTGCTCGCCCTTCATTCTGTAAGGTGATCAGACTTCTGTCAATGCCGATGGACCCGGATCTTGCCCAGCCCTGCTTGTCCCCTGACCCACCACTTTTTCTCCCCATCCCCAATAGCTAACCTTTTATTATTATTATTATTATTGTAATTTCAATATATTTTGCAGAACCACAAAAGATAAATCATTCTTTGATCCCAAGTCCATACATTTTTGTGGCAAGCAGTATGTTCTTTCGTGTCCAGTTGCCCAACCTTATTAGAAATCTGCTTATTACACACAAACTATACACCACTGCCTGAAATGATGCAGCATGTGTGGTTTCCAGGCTTTGGGTTGAATTTGCTTGAAACGTTAAGACGGTGCTGGAATTAGCAAATCACAGCTATTCTTAAGAGTTTACAGGTGATCGAATATGTTGGATGGGAGAAAGTTTAGCATTAAGATTTTAAATATATCTTTAAAACCCTTTGATGGATATTTTTATCACCAACCTTGTTCTACAAGGAATCTGAGACAGTTTATCGGGCTTCATAGAACATAGCAAGGGAGACTAACTTAGAAGTCAATGAGAAAGAAAGACTAAGGGTAGAGTTATAAAATGGCATTAAGACTGAAGCTAAAAAAAAAAAAGACTGAAGCTAATGCAAAAATACACGTGTGAGACCCTCTATAGTTGGTATGAGGGTAAACAAATCCAGCTCTAAACTTTCTAGCATCTCATGGAAAAAGAAGAACTGACCAACCCATGGCTCATATATTTTATTTGTTCATTGACTCACTCACCCATTTGTTCATTTAACACTCAGTGAGGACCTGCTATGCTCCGGGTTCTATGAAGGGTGCAGGGACAGACATGGTCTCTGCCCCTACAGCCTTACAGACGAATGCGAAAAGCCTACATTCGTCAGGAAACCCCATAAGTGAGGGTACAATTTCGGGTAGTGTTGAGAGCTGTGCAAAGTATGAGACACAAAACGTCACGTGTCCAGAACATAAAACACAAAATAAAAACATCTCAAGAGAAGCACAACAATTCCTGATTCTAAGAGCAGCAAGGAACTCTGCAAATACCACAGTGTTTTGACCGATGTCTTCAGTCACGTCCTTGTCAGACGCGAGGAGGGTTTCGCGCCGCTGTTTTTACAGTGTGAGCTTCCATCACTCCACGGGTCTCTCAGACCACCAAGGTGCTGGGGACGTACACATTTTGAGAGATCTGTATCTTCTCTAAAGTTAGCAGTTTTACTTCAGTGATAATCTTAAGTTATTATTTAAAACAGTGTGTTCTGGATTATCTTTTTTTTTTTTTATATTTTTTCATGTATTCATGAGAGACACAGAGAGAGAGGCAGAAACACAGGCAGAGGGAGGAGCAGGCTCCATGCAGGGAGCCTGACCTGGGACTCGATCCTGGGTCTCTGGGATCACGCCCTGGGTCGAAGGCGGTGCTAAACCGCTGAGCCACCCAGGGATCCCCCTGGATTATCTCTTTTTTTTTTTTTAAAGATTTTCTTTATTTATTTGACAGAAAAAGAGAGAGAGAGTGCACAGAAGCTGGGGGGAAGGAGAAGCAGACTCCCCTGCTGAGCAGGGAGCCCAACGTGGGGCTCCATCCCATGACCTGAGCCAAAGGCAGATGCTTTAACCCACTGAGCCACCCAGGCGTCCCTATTCTGAATTGATGGCAACCCCAAAGCCAGTGGGTGGGGCCTGTATCTGCCTCTGTATCTTCCCCTGTGAGCCCGGGGCAGGTCTGGTTGCTTAGGTCATGAGGCAGAGAGGAGACTAATTAGAGCATCCTGGCAAGAAGGCTGAGTCCACACAGGGCACAGGCTTGTCAGGCTCAAAAGAACAATTCCTGGGATCAGCACCATATTGGCAAGGAGGGATGCTCTCATGCTAGTTCCCACAGTCACATGCACTGAATTGCAGCGACTTAGCAGCAGGCGTTGTAGTGAAAACACAATGACAGACTTGCTGTTGCTGGTTTCAGCAATAATTGGATTAGGTCTACATTTAACGTAGATTTAGTAACCCCCGATTACTACCTTGTGTCCAAGGCAACGAGACAATTCGGTGTAATGACTGAGTGGGGCCAGGCTGTCTGACCTCAAATTCATTTTTCTACTCACTAGCTGTGAAACTTGGGCAAGTTACTCAACCTCTCTGATCTCAGTTTCTTCTTCTCTCTCTCTTTTTTTTTTTTTTTTAAATTTTTATTTATTTATGATAGTCACACAGAGAGAGAGAGAGAGAGAGAGGCAGAGACACAGGCAGAGGGAGAAGCAGGCTCCATGCACTGGGAGCCCGACGTGGGATTCGATCCCGGGTCTCCAGGATCGCGCCCTGGGTCAAAGGCAGGCGCCAAACCGCTGCGCCACCCAGGGATCCCTCTCTCTCTTTTTTTTAAAATATCTTATGTATTTATTCATAAGAGACATAGAGAGAGAGGCAGAGACACAGGGAGAGGGAGAAGCAGGCTCCCTGCAGGGAGCCGGATGTGGGACTCAACCCCGGGTCTCCAGGATCACGCCCTGGGCCGAAGGCGGTGCTAAACCGCTGAGCCACCCAGGGATCCCCAATTTTTGGCATTTTAGTAACATAGAACTATAATGCCTGAGTGTTTAGAACTGGTCTTAATGAGTATATGTATTTAAGATACATTTTATTTATTTATTTATTTTTAAAGATTTATTTATTTATTCATTCAGAGAGAGCGAAGAGAGAGGCAGAGACATAGGCAGAGGGAGAAGCAGGCTCCATGCAGGGAGCCTGATATGGGACTCGATCCTGGGTCTCCAAGATCACACCCCAGGCTGCAGGCAGCGCTAAACCGCTGCGCCACCGGGGCTGCCCTAAGATACATTTTAATAAAAATGACTTAGGTCATCCCTGGGTCCGTGAGAAATTTTTTTTCTCCAAAAGCGATCTCTGTATACTTTAAGCCTTTTGCGCTGTGTACAAGGACACACCCAAGATTCTTGGAACAGAATTTTTAATCTCTGGAAGAGACATTACGCTCTAATATTTTACCTATATACTCGA